AAAAACGAGAAAACTTGCCACTGGGAAATACAGGGGGATTCGGGGGGAAAAATCCCGGATTTTTTCGTTGGGAGGAAAAGGGGGAAAAAATAGGGAACTTGGCGAAAACTGACGGAATTTGTCATTGGGAAAAGCGGGGGGGATATGGGGAAAAAATAAGGGAGTGTTGGGGAAATGGATTTGGGGCAAAAAGAAGGGGGATTTGGGGGAAAAAGGTTTGGGAGAAAAGGGGGTGGGGGGATTTAGGAAAAAATTGCAGGAATTTTGCATTGGGAAGAATGGGGAGGTTTGGGGAAAATACTCGAAATTTTCCATTGGGAAGAATGGGGAGGATTTGGGGAAGAATGGGGAAAAAAGGGGAACTTTGGGGGAAAAAGGGGGGGGATTTGGGGATAAAAGGGGAGGAATTTGAGTAAAAAGGGGGAAATTTGGGGAAAAAAGGGCAGGAAAAAAGCAGAAATTTCGGGAAAAAAGGGCAGGAAAAAAGCAGAAATTTCGGGAAAAAAGGGGGGAAATTTTGGGAAACAAAGGGGGGGGGTCCCAGGGGGCCGGGTGCCGCCCCCAGGTGCGTCACCTTGCGGGATCTGCGTGGCCAGCGGGGACGAGATGGTGACGAAGTGGCGCTCGCGGCAGCCGTAGTGCACCGGCATCTGGCGGCCCTTGCCGGGGTCGCGCGCGTTGCCGTAGCACTGGGCCATGAACAGCTCCAGGGGGTACCCCGCGGTACAGCAGCACACCTGGGCACAGGTAAGGGAACACCTGTGACACCTGTGACACACCTGTGTTACACCTGGGTCACACCTGAGTTACCTATGTAACCATGAACAGCTCCAGGGGGTACCCGCGGTACAGCAGCACACCTGGGCACAGGTAAGGGAACACCTGTGACACCTGTGACACACCTGTGTTACACCTGGGTCACACCTGAGTTACCTATGTAACCATGAACAGCTCCAGGGGGTACCCGCGGTACAGCAGCACACCTGGGCACAGGTAAGGGAACACCTGTGACACACCTGTGACACACCTGGGTCACACCTGAGTTACCTATGTAACCATGAACAGCTCCAGGGGGTACCCGCGGTACAGCAGCACACCTGGGCACAGGTAAGGGAACACCTGTGACACACCTGTGACACACCTGGGTTACACCTGGGTCACACCTGAGTTACCTATGTAACCATGAACAGCTCCAGGGGGTACCCGCGGTACAGCAGCACACGCTGGGCACAGGTAAGGGAACACCTGTGACACCTGTGACACACCTGGGTTACACCTGTGATACACCTGTGTCACCTGGGTTACATCTGTGTTACATGTGAGTTACACCTGAGTTACCTATGTAACCATGAACAGCGCCAGGGGGGTACCCGCGGTACAGCAGCACACCTGGGCACAGGTAAGGGAACACCTGTGACACCTGTGACACACCTGTGTTACACCTGGGTCACACCTGAGTTACCTATGTAACCATGAACAGCTCCAGGGGGTACCCGCGGTACAGCAGCACACCTGGGCACAGGTAAGGGAACACCTGTGACACCTGTGACACACCTGTGTTACACCTGGGTCACACCTGTGTTACCTATGTAACCATGAACAGCTCCAGGGGGTACCCGCGGTACAGCAGCACACCTGGGCACAGGTAAGGGAACACCTGTGACACACCTGTGACACACCTGGGTCACACCTGAGTTACCTATGTAACCATGAACAGCTCCAGGGGGTACCCGCGGTACAGCAGCACACCTGGCGACAGGTAAAGGAACACCTGTGACACCTGTGACACACCTGTGACACACCTGTGTTACACCTGGGTCACACCTGAGTTACCTATGTAACCATGAACAGCTCCAGGGGGTACCCGCGGTACAGCAGCACACCTGGGCACAGGTAAGGGAACACCTGTGACACCTGTGACACACCTGGGTTACACCTGTGATACACCTGTGTCACCTGGGTTACATCTGTGTTACATGTGAGTTACACCTGAGTCACCTATGTAACCATGAACAGCGCCAGGGGGTACCCCCGGTACAGCAGCACACCTGGGCACAGGTAAGGGAACACCTGTGACACACCTGTGACACACCTGTGATACACCTGGGTCACACCTGAGTTACCTATGTAACCATGAACAGCTCCAGGGGGTACCCGCGGTACAGCAGCACACCTGGGCACAGGTAAGGGAACACCTGTGACACACCTGTGACACACCTGTGTTACACCTGGGTCACACCTGAGTTACCTATGTAACCATGAACAGCTCCAGGGGGTACCCCCGGTACAGCAGCACACCTGGGCACAGGTAAGGGAACACCTGAGTCACCTGTGTCACCTTTGTTATACCTGTGTTACACCTGTCACCTGCGTCACCTGCTCTAACTGGGCCATGAACAGCTCCAGGGGTACCCACAGTACAGCAGCACACCTGGGGACACAGGTAAGGGTACCTGTGTCACACCTGTGCCTCACCTGTCACACCTGTGTCACACCTGTGTCACACCTGTGTCACACCTGAGCACACCTGTCCCTCACCTGCCTCGCGGGTACTGCCCGAACACCAGGTCACTGCTGTCCAGGGCGGCTCACCTGTCACACCTGAGCACACCTGTGTCACACCTGAGCACACCTGAGCACACCTGTCCTCACCTGCCTCGCGGTACTGCCCGAACACCAGGTCGTTGCTGTCCAGGGCGGCGGCGCTGCCCACGTGCGTCCCCTCCTCGCCGTAGTTGGTCATGTAGAACGAGATCCGGCCCTGCGCAGGTGAGACAGGTGAGACACAGGTGAGACAGGTGAGACAGGTGAGACAGGTGAGACACAGGTGAGACACAGGTGACACAGGTGAGGCACAGGTGAGACAGGTGAGACACAGGTGAGGCACAGGTGAGACAGGTGAGACACAGGTGAGACACAGGTGAGACACAGGTCAGACAGGTGAGACACAGGTGACACAGGTGAGACACAGGTGAGACAGGTGAGACAGGTGAGACACGGGTGAGACACAGGTGAGACAGGTGAGACACAGGTGAGACAGGTGAGGCACAGGTGAGTCCCCAAGGTGAGTCCCCCAGGTGAGACAGGTGAGACACAGGTGAGACACAGGTGAGACACAGGTGAGACAGGTGAGGCACAGGTGAGTCCCCAAGGTGAGTCCCCCAGGTGAGACAGGTGAGACACAGGTGAGACACAGGTGAGACACAGGTGAGACAGGTGAGGCACAGGTGAGACAGGTGAGACACAGGTGAGGCACAGGTGAGACAGAGGTGAGACAGGTGAGACACAGGTGAGACACAGGTGAGACAGGTGAGGCACAGGTGAGGCACAGGTGAGACACCAGGTGAGACCCCAGGTGAGTCCCCAGGTGTGCCCAGGTGAGGCTCACCTGTCGCTGGGACTCGTACAGGATCCTGTCCATGGTGTTGAGCAGCGTCATCGTCTTGTAGAGCTTCAGCACCTGCTCCTTGGGCAGCTGCAGACAGGGGGGACAGGTGAGGGACACGGGGGACAGGTGGGACAGGGGGGACAGGTGAGGGACACGTGAGGGACAGGTGGGACAGGGGGGACAGGTGAGGGACACGGGGGACAGGTGGGACAGGGGGGACAGGTGAGGGACACGTGAGGGACACGTGAGGGGCACCTGGGCAGGTGGGACCTGTCCCGTGTCACCTGTCCCTGTCTGTCCATGACCTGGTACACCGGGATCCCAGGTGTGTTACCTGTCCCAGGTGTGTGTTACCTGTCCCAGGTGTATCCCAGGTGTGTGTTACCTGTCCCAGGTGTGTGTTACCTGTCCCAGGTGTATCCCAGGTGTGTGTTACCTGTCCAGGTGTGTCTCACCTGCGGATCCTCGGACTGGCGGATCACCTGTCCCTGCCGGTCCATCACCCGGTACACCGGGATCCCGGCTGTGTTACCTGTCCCAGGTGTGTGTTACCTGTCCCAGGTGTGTCTCACCTGTCCCAGGTGTGTCTCACCTGCGGATCCTCGGACTGGCGGATCACCTGTCCCTGCCGGTCCATCACCCGGTACACCGGGATCCCGGACAGCACCTGGGGCTGGATGAACTCGAGGCGTTCGGCGAACTCGGCCGAGGCCCCGGGGAACTGCGGCCGCTCCTCGGGGGAGCCCTGGGGGACACAGGGGACAATGGGGACAATGGGGGACATTGGGGGGATTGGGGACAATGGGGACATTGGGGGGATTGGGGACATTGGGGGGACATTGGGGACAATGGGGACAATGGGGGGACATTGGGGGGACATTGGGGGACAGTGGTGACATTGCGGGGACACAGGGGACATTGGGGGCGTTGGGGACATTGGGGTGACACCGGCTAACTGCGGCCGCTCCTCGGGGGAGCCCTGGGGACATTTGGGGACAATGAGGGGACATTGGGGACATTGGGGACATTGGGGGGACACCGGGAACTGCAGCCGCTCCTCAGGGGAGCCCTGGGGACATTGAGGGGGACAATGGGGACCCTGGGGTGGTTGTCCCCTCATTGTCACCCCTGATGTCACCCCCCAATGTCCCCTCATTGTCCCCCCAGTGTCACCCCCCCAAAATGTCCCCAAATGTCCCCTCATTGTCCCACACCAATGTCTCTGGTGTCCCCTCCCTGTCCCCTCACTGTCAGCCCCCCAAATGTCCCCAGTGTCCCCTGGTGTCCCCTCTCTGTCCCCCTCTCTGTCCCCCTCACTGTCCCCCCCAAACGTCCCCCAATGTCCCCTCTCTGTCCCCCTCACTGTCCCCTCATTGTCACCCCTCAATGTCCCCAGATGTCCCCCGATGTCCCCGGTGTCCCCTCCCTGTCCCCACTCACTGTCACCCCCCCAAATGTCCCCAGAAGTCCCCCAGATGTTCCCCCCTGTCCCCGCTGTCCCCTCCCCGTCCCCGTCCCCACTCACGGTCCCCTCATGGTCACCCCCCAAATGTCCCCCAATGTCCCCCTCCCTGTCCCCACTCACTGTCACCCCCCCATTGTCCCCCGATGTCCCCAATGTCCCCTCCCTGTCCCCACTCACTGTCACCCCCCCAATGTCCCCCGATGTCCCCCGCTGTCCCCGCTGTCCCCGCTGTCCCCTCCCCGTCCCCGTCCCCACTCACGGTCCCCAGGAGCCGCCTCGGGCCCAGCCCCGGGAGCCGCCGCCGCCACCGCAGCGCCCGCAGCGCCGCCATCTTCCCTGAGGGCGTGGCCTAACGCCGCGCCGCGCGCTGATTGGCTGCGCGGGGGGGCGGCGGTGCGGTCGCAGGGATCTGATTGGCTGCGCGGCCTGAGGGGGGAGCCACGCCCCCGATGGGCTCGTGAGGGACTGGTGTGGCCACGCCCACTGAGCGGTTGGGGGCGTTGCAGGGGTTGGCCCCGCCCACTAAATAGCCAAATAACGGAATATCTAATGGCCACGCCCCCTAAACGGCCATATAAGGGAATAGTCAATAGCCACGCCCCTAAATGGCCATATAATAGCCAATTAGCCACGCCCCCTTAATGGCCATATAGCACAGTATATAATGGCCACGCCCCCTAAACGGCCATATAAGGGAATAGTCAATAGCCACGCCCCCTAAATGGCCATAGCCACGCCCCTTAAAAAGCCACATAAGGCAATACCTAATAGCCACGCCCCCTTAATGGCCATATAAGGGAATTCCTAATAGCCACGCCCCCTTAATGGCCATATAAGTGTGGGTGCTGTTGTTGGCCACGCCCCTTCAGTGACATCGGGGGCTCCGCCCACCCCCCAAATTTCCCAAACTCCAAATTCCCCAAACCCCGCCCACCACGGGGACCCCACCCCAAATTCTCCCCCAACTCCAAATTTCCCCTCCCCGAAATTCCCCAAATCCCCCAAATTCCACCCCAAATTCCCCCCCTCCCCCACCCTGAGGACCTCCAAACCCCCACCCCAAATTCCTCCCATCCCAAACCCCCTCAAATTCCCCAAGTCCCCCCTCCTCAAATTCCCCAAATCCCCCCTCCTCAAATTCCCCAAATTCCCCAAATCCCCTCTCACATCACACCGTGGGTAGGGGTCCCGAGGTTTATTTTGGGGAGGGGTCGAGGGGGGATTTGGGGGGGGGGACAATTCAGGGCAGGAATAACTTAAAAATGGGGGCGGGGTCTCCGGGGGGGTGGGCGGGGTCTGGGGGAGGGGGCGGGGCCGTATTTACATCTGTACAAGGTGGGGGAGGGGGGGGGCTGCAGGTTATTACTGGGGAGGGGTCCCCAAAATGTTGGCACCAGAATTTTGGGACCCCCCCCAAAATTACCCCCGACCAACCCCCTCCCCCCCCCCCCCCCCCCAAAAATGTCCTGGGGGGGGTCCCAGCGCCGCTGGTCCTGAATTTGGGGAGGGGTCCCGAATTTGGGGAGGGGTCCCGGGGCTGCCGAATCTATGGGGGGGGTCCTGGGGTTCCCAGGGGGGTCCCAGAGGGTCCCCGATTTTCCTGGGGGGGTCCTTGGGGGTCCCGGTGCTGCTGCAGGTGTTGGGGGGGGGTCCCCAGGGCTGGTTCTGGGGGTCCTGATCCAACTCTGGGGGTCCCAGGGGTTCTGATCTGGGTCTGGGGGGTCCCAGAGGGTCCCAGCCTGGGCCTGGGGGTCCCAATCTGGTTCTGGGGGGGTCCTGATCCAGTTCTGGGGGTCCCAGTCTCGTTTTGAGGGGGTCTCAGGGGTCCCAATCTGGTTCTGAGGGGTCCTGGGGGTCCCAATCTCATTTTTGGGGGGGTCCTGAGGGTCCCAATCTCATTCTTGGGGGGTCCTGGGGGTCCCAGTCTCATTCTTGGGGGGTCCTGGTCCAGTTCTGGGGGTCCCGGGGGGGGTCCCAAGGCAGCTCCAGGGGTCTCGGTCTCAATCTTGGGGGGTCCCGGGGGTCCTGATCCAGTTCGGGGGTCCCGGTCTCGTTCTTGAGGGGGGTCCTGGTTTGGTTCTGGGGGTCCTGATCCAGCTCCGGGGGTCTCCATCTTGGGGGGGTCCCAATCTGGTTCTGGGGGTCCTGGGGGGGTCCTGGTGCAGCTCCGGGGGTCCCGATCCGATCCTGATCCGGTTCTGGGGGTCCCGCTCTCAGTCTTGGGGGGGTTTTGAGGGGGGGTCGCGGCCCAGTTCTGGGGGTCCTGATCCGGTTCTGGGGGTCCCCAGGGGGGTCCTGGTGCAGCTCCGGGGGTCCCGATCCAGTTCTGGGGGTCCCGCTCTCAGTCTTGGGGGGTTTTGAGGGGGGGTCCCGGCCCAGTTCTGGGGGTCCCGATCCGATTCTGGGGGTCCCAGGGGGGTCCTGGGGGGTCCTGATGCAGCTCCGGGGGTCCCGTCCTGGTCCCGGTCCAGTTCTGGGGGTCCTGATCTTGATCTTGGGGGGTCCCCGGTCTCGTTCTTAGGGGTCTCGGTCCAGTTCTGGGGGGTCCCGTTCTGGTCCCAGTCCGGTTCTGGTGGTCCCGGGCCATTTCTGGGGGTCCCGCTCTCGTTCCTGGGGGGTCCCGATCCAGTCCTGGGGGTCCTGGGGGGTCCTGGTCCAGTTTTGGGGGTCCTGATGCAGCTCCGGGGGTCCCAGTCTGGGTTTGGGGTCCCGGTCTCCATCTTGGGGTCCCAATCCAGTTCCGGGGGTCCCGTGTGGGTTCCGGTCCGGTTCTGGGGGTCCCGGGTGGGGGTCCCGGGGGGTCCCGATCCAGCTCCGGGGGGTCCCGTCCCGGTTCTGGGGGTCCTGATCTGGTTCTGGGGGTCCCGATGCAGCTCCGGGGGTCCCGTTCTGGTCCCGGGGGTCCCGTTCCGGTTCTGGGGGTCCCAGTCTCGTTCTTGGGGGGTCCCGATCCAGCTCCGGGGGTCCCGTCCCGGTTCTGGGGGTCCTGATCTGGTTCTGGGGGTCCCGATCCAGCTCCGGGGGTCCTGGTCCGGTTCCGGGGGTCCCAGTCTCGTTCTTGGGGGGTCCCGATGCAGCTCCGGGGGTCCCGTTCTGGTCCCGGGGGTCCCGTTCCGGTTCGGGGGGTCCCGGTCCCGGGTGGGGGTCCCGGCGGGGGTGGATGGGAATTGGGGGGGGGGGGGCCCGAAGGAGCCCCTCCCCCCCCCATCACAGCCCCCCCCCCTCGGAGCAGCCGGGGGGGCGGCTTCCGCTTGATCCCCAGGTAGATGGCAACTGGGGGGGGGGGAGGGGACAGGTGAGACCGGGGGGGGTCCCCGAGACCCCTCCCCAAATATGGGGGGGGGGATGGGAGAGGGGCGGGACCCACCTTGCGAGCGCAGGTCCCCCGATTCCCGCAGGTTCGTCTGCGACCCTGGCGAGGGCAGGGGGCAGAAAGGTGGGGAGGGGGTCAAGGGGGGGGGGTGGGACCCCCCCCAAAAAATCCCCCCAAAAACCCCCGCAAAAAATCCCCTCAAAAATTAAAAAAAAAAAAAAAGAAATTCCCCAAAACCCCCCCCACAAAAATATATTCAAAAACCCACTAAAATATAAAAAATAAAATAAAATTTAAAAATCCCCCCAGAAATCTAGGACAGGTGACACTGGTGCCCCAGGTGTCCCCAGCTGTGCCCAGGTGTATCCCAGGTGTGCCCAGGTGTGCCCCAGGTGTATCCAGGTGTGCCCCAGGTGTGCCCCAGATGTCCCCAGGTGTGTCCCAGATGTCCCCAGGTGTCCCCAGGCGTGTCCCCAGGTACCCCAGGTGTGCCCCAGGTGTCCCCAGGTGTGCCCAGGTGTCCCCAGGTACCCCAGGTGTGCCCCAGGTGTCCCCAGCTACCCCAGGTGTTCCCAGGTGTGCCCCAGGTGTGCCCCAGGTGTTCCCAGGTGTGCCCCAGCTACCCCAGGTGTGCCCCAGGTGTGTCCCAGGTGTTCCCAGGTGTGCCCCAGGTGTGCCCAGGTGTCACTCACGGATTTTGGCGGCTCCGGGGCCGGGCGTGGCCGAGACGCAGCGATTGGAGCTCTGCCGGCGGGAGGGGTCAAGGGACACCCTGGGCAGGTGAGAGAACAGGTGAGATACAGGTGAGGGACAGGTGTGCCCAGGTGTGCCAGGTGTGCCCCCTCACCTGCGGCTCAACTCGTGCTCAGGTGTGTCTGACCCCCCAGGTGTATTTTTGGGTGTGCCCAGGTGTGCCAGGTGTGCCCAGGTGCGCCATGCTCACCTGCGGCTCAGTTTGGAGGTGATCTTGCTCAGGTGTGTCTGACCCCCTCAGGTGTATCTCAGGTGTATCTCAGCTGTGCCGAGGTGTATCTCAGGTGTGCCCAGGTGTGCCCCCTCACCTGCGGCTCAGTTTCGAGGTGATCTTGCTCAGGTGTGTCTGACCCCTCCCCAGCTGTACCCAGGTGTATATTTGGGTGCCCCCAGGTGTGTTTAACCCCCCCAGGTGTGCCCAGGTGTGCCCCCTCACCTGCGGCTCAGTTTCGAGGTGATCTTGCTCAGGTGTGTCTGACCCCTCCCCAGCTGTACCCAGGTGTATATTTGGGTGCCCCCAGGTGTGCCCAGGTGTATCCCAGGTCTGTTTAACCCCCCCAGGTGTATCTCAGGTGTATCTCAGGTGTATCTCAGCTGTGCCCAGGTGTATCTCAGGTGCCCCCAGGTGTGCCCCCTCACCTGCGGCTCAGTTTCGAGGTGATCTTGCTCAGCAGCGTCGCCGTGGGGCGGGGCCGGGGGGAGGAGCCGGCGCTGGGCGGGGGCGGGGGCGAGGCGGGGGGCGGAGCTCCCGAGGCCCCGCCCCCCCGGCGGCTCCCGGCGGTTCCGGTGCCGGTTCCGGTGGAGGCCCCGCCCCCCCCGTGGAAGGTGCTGCGGGCGGAGCAGCCGCGGGCCAGGTGCGCCAGGTGAGCCCCGCCCAGGTGGGCCCCGCCCAGCGAGTGGCTGGAGGGGGAGGGCGGGGGGCGGGACGGCAGGCTGCGGGGAGAGTGACGTCATTGGTGATGCAACCGGTGACGTCACACACGGGTGACGTCGGACACACCCACAGGTGATGTCACAGGTGAGCCCCGCCCAGGTGAGCCCCGCCCAGGTGAGCCCCGCCCAGGGAGTGGCCGGAGGGGGAGGGCGGGACGGCAGGCTGCGGAGAGAGTGACGTCATTGGTGACGTCAGAGGTGATGTCATACGGGTGGCGTCACAGGTGACATCACAGGTGAGACCCACAGGTGACGTCAACAGTGACGTCAGAGGTGATGTCACACAGGTGGCATCACGGGCGACATCAGACACAACCACAGGTGACATCACACTGACAGGTGACGTCACACACACAGGTGACATCGCAGGTGACGTCCCACACCCACATGTGACGTCATAGGTGATGTCACCCACAGGCGACCCCACCCCCCAGCCCCATAGTGGGAGGGGCACAGGTGGCACTGCGGTGATTTGGGGTGAATTTTGGGTGATTTTGGGATGGATTTGGGGGTGCCCAGGTGTGCCCAGGTGTGGCACTCACCTGTCCTTGCCGTTGGGCAGCAGCAGGTGGGTTTGGGGTGATTTTGGGGTGGATTCTGGGGTATTTTGGGTGGATTTGGGGTGATTTTGAGGGGATTTCAGGTGTGCCCAGGTGTGCCCAGGTGTGCCAGCCTCACCTGTCCTTGCCGTTGGGCAGCAGCAGGTGCCGCTCCCCCCCCGAGCACACGTAGGTGTTCCTGCGGCCCATCACGCTGGGGGGCACGTGGGGCTGGGGGGGGCACGGGGGGCACCTCAGCTCACCTGGGGCCACAGGTGTGCCCAGGTGCCCCCCCAGGTACCCCCCAGATGTGCCCAGGTATCCTCAGGTGTTCCCAGGTCCCCCCAGGTGTGTGCCCAGGTATCCCCAGCCCTTCCAGGTGTGCCCAGGTGTACCCAGGCATCCCCAGGTGTGCCCAGGTGTGCCCAGGTGTGTAACCCCCCCCAGATGCCCCCAGGTGCCCCCAGGTGTGCCCAGGTGTATCCCAGGTGTGTAACCCCCCAGGTGTGCCCAGGTGTGCCCAGGTGTGCCCAGGTGTGTAACCCCCCCAGGTGTGCCCCCAGGTGTGCCCACCTGTCCGTCCAGGTGCCTCTCGGGGATCTCGGCCTTGTTGGGGTTGTGGGCGCTGCTGACCAATGGGCTGCAGGGAGGGGGGAGGGGCGGCCCGGCCCCGCCCCCACCGCCCCTCCCCCCCCCTCCTCCTCCGGAGCCCCTCCTGGGGGGCGGGGCCACGCCCCCGGCCACACCCCCGGCCACGCCCAGCTCCGAGGAGGGGGGAGGGGCAGCTGAGGGGGGGCTGCGGCGGGGGGGAGGGGCGGCCGAGGGGGCGGGGCCACCTGCGGGGTCAAAGAGGGGTCACTGAGGGGTCACACCCCCTCAGGACCCCCCCCAATGTCCCCAAATATCACAAAATGTCCCAAAATATTCCCAAAATGTCCCAAATCCCCCCATTGTCCCCAATGTCCCCAAGTGTCCCAAAATGTCCAAAAAAGTCCCCAAATATTCCCAAAATGTCCCCAAATGTCCCCCAACCCCCCCAATGTCCCCAACGTCCCCAATGTCCCCAATGTCCCCAATCCCCCCAATATCCCCCCAGTGTCCCCCAATGTCCCCCAATGTCCCCAATGTCCTCAATCCCCCCAATGTCCCCCCAATCCTCCCAATGTCCCCCAATATCCCCCCAGTGTCCCCCAATGTCCCCCAATGTCCCCAATGTCCTCAATCCCCCCAATGTCCCCCCAATCCTCCCAATGTCCCCCAATGTCCCCCCAATGTCCCCCAATGTCCCCAATGTCCCCAATGTCCCCAATGTCCCCCCAATCCCCCCCAATGTCCCCAGTGTCCCCGGTGTCCCCGGTGTCACTCACAGAAGTCGCTGTGCCGCCGCTGCCGGTGGTGGCCGCCCCCGCGCTGTCCCTTGCCGTGCGACGTCCCCGACGATGTCCCCGACTTGGTGGCACCATTGGGAGCCTCGGCCGAGCCCCGGGGCCGCGACAGGGACAGGGACAGCGAGGTGCCACCCTCGGGCTGTCCCCGACGGGGGCACAGTGTCACCAATGTCCCCAATGTCCCCAATGTCCCCAATCCCCCTCAGTGTCCCCAATGTCCCCAGTGTCCCCAATCCCCCTCAGTGTCTCCATTGTCCCCATTGTCCCCAATGTCCCCTCAGTGTCCCCAGTGTCCCCAATGTCCCCAATCCCCACAATGTCCCCAATCCCCCTCAGTGTCCCCGATGTCCCCAATGCCCCCAATGTCCCCAATCTCCCCAATGTCCCCTCAGTGTCCCCAATGTCCCCAATGTCCCCAGTGTCCCCAGTGTCCCCACTATCCCCAATGTCCCCAATCCCCACAATGTCCCCAATCCCCCTCAGTGTCCCCAGTGCCCCCAATGTCCCCAATCCCCCCAATGTCCCCAATCCCCCTCAGTGTCCCCAGTGTCCCCAATGTCCCCAGTGTCCCCAATCCCCCCAATGTCCCCAGTCCCCCTCAGTGTCCCCAGTGTCCCCAGTGCCACCCACCTCTCCGCGCCGCCCCAGCAGCAGGTACGTGGCCATGTCCCCAATGTCCCCAATCCCCCCAATGTCCCCAATGTCCCCAGTGCCACCCACCTCTCCGCGCCGCCCCAGCAGCAGGTACGTGGCCGTCACCTCGTTGTACTTGTGGGTGCTCAGCGCCTCCTTGATCTCCTCCCGCGTGTAGCCCATGCCCACCATCACCTCTGCGGGGACAGCGGCGTCACCAATGTCCCCAAGGTGTCCCCGGGGCGTCCCCAAGGCGCCCCCCCCCCCCCCCCGTGTCCCCTCACCGATGCGCTTGGTGTCCCCAAAGTCCTCCTGGGGCTCCGTGTAGGGCGTCAGCTCGTCGCCCTCGTAGCCGATGTTGATCCACTTGTCCTTCATGATTTGCTGATTGGGGACATTGGGGACATTTCGGGGGGACATTGGGGGACATTGGGGACATTGGGGGCATTGGGGGCATTGGGGGCATTGGGGGGGTATTGGGGACATTGGGGACATTGAGGGACATTGGGGCCATTGGGGACATTGGGGGCATTGGGGGCATTGGGGACATTGGGGGACACTGGGGACATCGGGGGGGTATTGGGGACATTGGGGACATTGAGGGACATTGGGGCCATTGGGGACATTGGGGGCACTGGGGGACACTGGGGGGATTTGGGACATTGGGGGGACATTGGGGACACTGAGGGACATTGGGGACATTGGGGGGCATTGGGGACATTGGGAACACATTGGGGGGACATTGGGGGGCATTGGGGGGACATTGAGGACACACTGGGGACATTGGGGACAGCAGGGGACACTGGGGACACAGGATGTTCCCACAGCCCCAAATCCCCCCAAAATCACCCCAAATCACCCCAAAACCCCCCCAAACCCCTGTGGGGACCCCCCGGAGCCCCCCGGTACCTCGAGGGTGCAGCGCTTGGCGGGGTTGAGCACCAGGAAGCGCCGCAGGATGTTCTCGCAGTCCGTGGACATGTAGAAGGGCACGCGGTACTTGCCCCGCAGCACGCGCTCCCGCAGCTCCTGGGGGCACACGGGGTCACACGGGGTCACACGGGGTCACTGGGGGCAGCCGGGGTCACACGGGGTCACTGGGGTCACTGGGGGCAGCCGGGGTCACACGGGGGTCACACGGGGTCACTGGGGGCAGCCGGGGTCACACGGGGTCACTGGGGTCACTGGGGGCAGCCGGGGTCACACGGGGGTCACACGGGGTCACTGGGGTCAGCCAGGGTCACATGGGGTCAGTCGGGGTCACCCAAGGTCAGTCGTGGTCAGTTGGGGTCAGTCGGGGTCAGTCGTGGTCAGTTGGGGTCAGTCGGGGGTCAGCTGGGGTCACTCAGGGTCAGTGACCACGCAGTGACCAAGAGGTGACCACGGGCACCAGGACGTCACCAGGCGGTGACAGGAGGTGACCGCGGGTGACAACCGGCACCGGTCACCTCCAGGCCACGCCCAGCAGAGTGACCACTGACCCCGCGGGACCTCCGGGGTCACACGGCGTGGCGGAGGACGGTCAGGACCGAGTGACCACGCAGTGACCAGGAGGTGACCACAGGCACCAGGAGGTGACCGGACAGTGACCAGAAGGTGACAGTCACCACACTGACCACTGACCAGATGACCCCAAGCTCCAGCCACAGCCCCTTGGGGTCACAGCAGGTGACCAAGGAGTATCAAGACCGAGTGACCAGGAGGTGACAGCAAGTGACCAAACAGTGACCAGGAGGTCACCACGAGGCTCCCAGCGGTCACCTTGAGGTTGTGTCCGCCGAAGGGCAGCGAGCCACTGACCAGCGTGTACAGGATGGCCCCCAGGCTCCAGATGACCACACAGTGACCACGCGGTGACCAAACAATGACCACATAGTGACCACGCAATGACCACACAGTGACCCAACAATGACCACGCAGTGACCGCACAATGACCACGCAATGACCACGCAGGCTCCCAGCGGTCACCTTGAGGTTGTGGCCGTCGAAGGGCAGCGAGTCGCTGACCAGCGTGTACAGGATGGCCCCCAGGCTCCAGATGACCACACAGTGACCACGCGGTGACCAAACAATGACCACATAGTGACCACGCAGTGACCCAACAATGACCCCGCAATGACCATGCAATGACCCAACAATGACCACGCAATGACCAAACAATGACCACACAGTGACCACGCAGTGACCAAACAATGACCCAACAATGACCACGCAATGACCAAACAATGACCACACAGTGACCACGCAGTGACCAAACAATGACCACGCAGTGACCACGCAGTGACCCAACAATGACCACACAATGACCACGCAGTGACCAAACAATGACCACACAGTGACCACGCAGTGACCAAACAATGACCACGCAGTGACCACGCAGTGACCCAACAATGACCGCACAGTGACCACGCAATGACCAAACAATGACCCAACAATGACCACGCAATGACCACACAGTGACCACGCAATGACCACACAGTGACCACGCAATGACCACACAGTGACCCAACAATGACCACGCAGTGACCGCACAATGACCACGCAATGACCACGCAATGACCACGCAGTGACCCAACAATGACCACACAATGACCACGCAGTGACCCAACAATGACCACACAATGACCAAACAATGACCACACAGTGACCCAACAATGACCACACAATGACCACGCAACGACCACGCAATGACCCAACAATGACCACGCAATGACCACACAGTGACCCAACAATGACCACGCAGTGACCGCACAATGACCACGCAATGACCACGCAGGCTCCCAGCGGTCACCTTGAGGTTGTGTCCGTCGAAGGGCAGCGAGCCGCTGACCAGCGTGTACAGGATGACCCCCAGGCTCCAGATGACCACACAATGACCACGCAGTGACCCAACAATGACCACACAATGACCAAACAATGACCACGCAATGACCACGCAGGCTCCCAGCGGTCACCTTGAGGTTGTGTCCGTCGAAGGGCAGCGAGCCGCTGACCAGCGTGTACAGGATGACCCCCAGGCTCCAGATGTCCACCTCGGGCCCGTCGTACTTCTTGCCCTGGAAGAGCTCGGGCGCGGCGTAGGGCGGTGAGCCGCAGAACGTGTCCAGCTTGGAGCCGCGCGAGAACTCGTTGCTGAACCCGAAATCCGCGATCTTGATGTTGGCGTCGGCGTCCAGCAGCAGGTTCTCGGCCTGGGGACATTTGGGGACATCGTGAGGGACATGGGGACATTGTCACAGGAATGGGGACATTGTCACAGGAATGGGGACACTGGGATGGGGACGCTGGGATGGGATCTCGGTGTCAGTGTCCAGCAGCAGGTTCTCGGCCTGGGGACATTTGGGGACATTGTGAGGGACATGGGGACATTGTCACAGCAATGGGGACATGGGGACATTGTCACAGGAATGGGGACACTGGGATGGGGACGCTGGGATGGGATCTCGGTGTCGGTGTCCAGCAGCAGGTTCTCCGCCTGGGGACATTTGGGGACATCAATGGGGACACGGGGACATTGTCACAGGAATGGGGACATTGGGACAGGGACACTGGGATGGGGACACTGGGATGGGATCTCGGTGTCGGTGTCCAGCAGCAGGTTCTCGGCCTGGGGACGTTTGGGGACATCAGTGGGGACATGGGGACAGCAGCACACGGACACCAGGACAGGGACACCAGGACGGACACGGGGACATTGGGATGGGGACAATGACACCAGGACGGGCACGGGGACACCGGGACGGACACGGGGACGTTGGGATGGGGACAATGACACCAGGACGGGCACGGGGACACCGGGACGGACACGGGGACAGTGACACCAGGACGGGGACGCGCGGTGCCACCCCCGTGTCCCACCTTGAGGTCCCTGTGCACGATGTTCTTCTGGTGGCAGTAGTGCACGGCCGAGACGATCTGGGGACACAGGTGGCACTGTCACCGCGCGTCCCCACGGCGGCCCCAACCCGTCCTTGATGTCCCCAACCCTCCCAGGATGTCCCCAAATCTCTCCAAAATGTCCCCAAACCCCCTCAGGATGTCCCCAACCCATCCCTGATGTCCCCAGCCTATCCCTGCTGTCCCCAAACCCCCCAAAATGTCCCCAAAGCCCCCCAATGTCCCCAAAGCCCCCAAAATGTCCCCAAACCCCCCAAAATGTCCCCAAAGCCCCCCAGTGTCCCCAAACCCCCCCGATGTCCCCACCTGTCGGAACTTGGCCCGCGCCTCCTTCTCCTTCATCCTCCCGTGGGACACCAGGTAATCGAACACCTCACCTGGGGGGACACACCTGGGTGAGGACACCCCAAAAAACCCCAAAATATCCCAAAATATCATCCCAAAATATCATCCCAAAATATCCCCCCAAATATCCCCCCAAAAATCCCCCAAATATCCCCCCAATCCACACCAGGTAATCGAACACCTCACCTGGGGGGACACACCTGGGTGAGGACACCCCAAAAAACCCCAAAATATCCCAAAATATCCCCCCAAAATATCATCCCAAAATATCCCCCCGAATATCCCCCAAAATATCCCCCAAAAATCCCCCAAATATCCCCCCAATCCACACCAGGTAATCGAACACCTCACCTGGGGGGACACACCTGGGTGAGGACACCCCAAAAAACCCCAAAATATCCCAAAATATCCCCCCAAAATATCATCCCAAAATATCATCCCAAAATATCCCCCCAAATATCCCCCCAAAATATCCCCCAAAAATCCCCCAAATATCCCCCCAATCCACACCAGGTAATCGAACACCTCACCTGGGGACACACACAGAGGGATCTCGGTGCTCCCAGGTGTCCCCAAAGCCCCCCCAGGTGTCCCCAACGTCCCCAGGTGTTCCCAATGTCCCCAGGTGTGTCTCAGGCTGTCCCCAGGTGTGTCTCAGGGGTCCCCCAGGTGTCCCCAGTGTCCCCAGGTGTGTCTCAGCTGTCCCCAATGTCCCCAGGTGTCCCCAATGTCCCCAGGTGTGTCTCAGGCTGTCCCCAGGTGTGTCTCAGGCTGTCCCCAGTGTCCCCAGGTGTGTCCCAGGTGTGTCTCAGCTGTCCCCAATGTCCCCAGGTGTCCCCAATGTCCCCAGGTGTGTCTCAGGTGTCCCCAGGTGTGTCTCAGGTGTCCCCAGGTGTCCCCCAGCTGTCCCCAGGTGTGTCTCAGCTGTCCCCAGTGTCCCCAGGTGTGTCTCAGCTGTCCCCAATGTCCCCAGGTGTCCCCAATGTCCCCAGGTGTGTCTCAGCTGTCCCCAATGTCCCCAGGTGTTCCCAATGTCCCCAGGTGTCCCCAGTGTCCCCAGGTGTGTCTCAGGCTGTCCCCAGTGTCCCCAGTGTCCCCAGGTGTGTCTCAGCTGTCCCCAATGTCCCCAGCTGTCCCCAGTGTCCCCAGGTGTGTCTCAGCTGTCCCCAGTGTCCCCAGGTGTGTCCCAGGTGTGTCCTCACCTGCGCTGGCGTACTCCATCACCAGGTACAGCGTCTTCTCCGTCTCAATCACCTCAAACAGCTTCACTGCAATGGGGCGGGGGGCGTCGGGACCACTCCCCAAATTGGGGACCCCTCCCCAAATTCTGGGACCCCTCCCCAAATTACAGAGCCCCCTGCCCACCCCTGGGACCCCTCCCCAATTCCTTGACTCCTCCCCATTTTTGGGACCCCCTCCCAGGACCCCTCCCCATTTTGTAACCCCTCCCCACCCCCAGGACCCCATTTTGGGGACCCCTCCCCAATTTGGGGACCCCTCCCCAAATTGGGGACCCCTCCCCATTTCTCTCACCGATATTGGGGTGGTTCAGCCCCTTCATGATCCGAACTTCCCGAAAGAGCTGAGGGGGGGGAAAAAGGGTCAGGGGGGGCTGGAGACCCCTCCCCAAATGGGGAGACCCCTCCCCAAACCCCCGGGACCCCTCCCCAAATGGGGAGACCCCTCCCCACCTTCTGCAGGCTGGTGGGGTTCAGCTGGGTCTTGTCGATGATTTTGATGGCGACCTGAAATTGGGGAGGGGGCGCTGAGGGGACCCCAGAGACCCCTCCCCAAATTCACCTGGGACCTCCCTGGCTCCCCCAAGTAACCTGAGACCCCTCCCCAATATTTACCTGAGGCCCCTCCCCAAATTCACCTGAGATTGCCCCCAAATTCACCTGAGACCCCTCCCCAAATTCACCTGAGACCCCTCCCCAATTTCACCTGAGACCCCTCCCCAAATTCACCTGGGATTGCCCCCAAATTCACCTGAGACCCCTCCCCAAATTCAGCTGAGACCCTCCTGGGACCCCCAAATCCCCCCTGAGACCCCCAAAACCCCCTCAAATCCCCCCAAAACCCCCCAGAGACCCCTCCCCAATTGTGTGAGACCCCTCCCACCTCCTCAAATCGCCTCATAGCCCCTCCTTATCACCCCAAATCGCCCCCAAACCCCCTCAAATCCCCCCTGAGCCCCCTCCCCAAATCCCAAATCACCCCTAAACCCCCTCAAATCCCCCCTGAGCCCCCTCAAATCTCCCGAGCCCCCTCCCCAAATCACCCCTAAACCCCCTCAAATCCCCCCTGAGCCCCCTCAAATCTCCCCTAAACCCCCTCCCACCACCTCAAATCACCTCAAGCCCCCTCCCCAAATCCCAAATCCCCCCTAAACCCCCTCAAATCCCCCCTGAGCCCCCTCCCACCTCCTCAAATCGCCTCATAGACCCCTCCCACCACCCCAAATCCCCCCCCAGGACCCCCAAAACCCCCTCAAATCCCCCCAAAACTCCCCAAAATCACCTCAAGCCCCCTCCCCAAATGCCTGGGACCCCTCCCCACCTCTCTCCCGGTCAGGACGTGCCGCGCCAGCTTGACCTTGGCGAAGTTGCCCTTGCCGATGGTGCGCAGCAGTCGGTAGTTGCCCACGTGGGGAGGGGGCTCCTCGGACCCCCCCCCCAGGGAGTTCCGGCCCCCCCGCGGCGGGGGAGGGGCGGCCCCGGACCCCCGCCCCGACCAACCGGCGCCGGGGGGAGGGGGCTTGTGGGGGGGGGCGCTGCCCCCCGGGCCCGGCTATGGGGGGGGGAGAACAGGGTGAGACCCCTCCCCAAATTAATGTAACAGTGAGACCCCTCCCCAAGTTAATATATAACAGTGTGAGACCCCTCCCCAAATTAATATAACACTGTGAGACCCCAATTATCACTGTGAGACCCCTCCCCAAATTAATGTAACAGTGAGACCCCTCCTCAAATTAATATATAACAGTGTGAGACCCCTCCCCAAATTAATATAACACTGTGAGACCCCAATTATCACTGTGAGACCCCTCCCCAAATTATCACCCCGGGCTTGTCAGGGTGGGCGGGCGCTGCCCCCCAGGCCCGGCTGGGGGGGGGGAGAACAGTGAGACCCCTCCCCAAATTAATGTAACAGTGAGACATTGACACCAATTATCACTGAGACCCCTCCCCAAATTAATGTAACACTGTGAGACCCCTCCCCAAATTAATGTAACAGTGAGACCCCTCCCCAAATTAATATATAACAGTGTGAGACCCCTCCCCAAATTAATATAACACTGTGAGACCCCAATTATCACTGTGAGACCCCTCCCCAAATTAATGTAACAGTGAGACCCCTCCTCAAATTAATATATAACAGTGTGAGACCCCTCCTCAAATTAATATATAACAGTGTGAGACCCCTCCCCAAATTAATATAACACTGTGAGACCCCTCCCCAAATTGATATAACACTGTGAGACCCCTCCCCAAATTATCACCCCGGGCTTGTCAGGGCGGGCGGGCGCTGCCCCCCAGGCCCGGCTGGGGGGGGGGAGAACAGTGAGACCCCTCCCCAAATTAATGTAACAGTGAGACATTGACACCAATTATCACTGAGACCCCTCCCCAAATTAATGTAACAGTGTGAGACCCCTCCCCAAATTAATATATAACAGTGTGAGACCCCTCCCCAAATTAATATAACACTGTGAGACCCCTCCCCAAATTAATATATAACAGTGTGAGACCCCTCCCCAAATTAATATAACACTGTGAGACCCCAATTATCACTGTGAGACCCCTCCCCAAATTATCACCCCGGGCTTGTCAGGGCGGGCGGGCGCTGCCCCCCAGGCCCGGCTGGGGGGGGGAGAACAGTGAGACCCCTCCCCAAATTAATGTAACAGTGAGACATTGACACCAATTATCACTGAGACCCCTCCCCAAATTAATATAACACAGTGAGACCCCTCCTCAAATTAATATATAACAGTGTGAGACCCCTCTCCAAATTAATATAACACTGTGAGACCCCTCCTCAAATTAATATAACACTGTGAGACCCCTCCCCAAATTATCACCCCGGGCTTGTCGGGGCGGGCGCTGCCCCCCGGGCCCAGCTATGGGGAAGGGGGGGAGAACAGTGAGACCCCTCCTCAAATTAATGTAACAGTGAGACCCCTCCCCAAATTATCACAGTGAGACATTGACCCCAATTAGCACAGTGAGACCCCTCCTCAAATTAATATATAACAGTGTGAGACCCCTCCCAAATTAATATAACAGTGAGACCCCTCCCCAAATTATAATAATGAGACATTGACCCCAATTATCACTGTGAGACCCCTCCCCAAAACACCACAGAGAGATCCCACACAAAATATCACAGTGAGACCCCTCCCCAAATTAATATAACATTGTGAGACCCCTCCACAAGTTAACATATCACAGTGAGACCCCTCCCCAAATTATCACAATCCCCAATAATCGCTGTGAGACCCCTTCCCAAATTATCATGGTGAGACCCCTCCCCAAAATACCATAATGACACCCTCACCCAAATTATCACAGTCCCCAATTTAATGTTGACACGAGACCCCTCCCCAAATTATCAGGGTCAGCCCTGAGAACCCCCTAAAGCATCACAGTGAGACCCCCTCCCCAAATTACCACAGCAAGACCCCCACCCGAATTATGGGATCACCCAAATTATCACAGTGAGACCCCTCCCCAAATTAATGTCACTGTGAGACCCTCACTCAAATTATCACTGTGAGACCACTCCCCAAATTAATGTCACTGTGAGGCCCCTCCCCAAATTATCACAGTCCCCAACTATCACTGTGAGACCCCTCCCCAAATTAATATCACAGTGAGACCCCTCCCCAAAATACCACAGGGAGATCCCCACACAAAACATCACAGTGAGACCCCTCCCCAAATTATCACAGTCCCCAATTTAACATCACTGTGAGACCCCTCCTCAAATTATAATGCCACTCTTGGGACGCCCACCCCAATTATCCCAGTGAGACCCCCACCCGGATTATGGGGACACCCCCGAGACCCCACCCAAAATAATCTCAGGGGGGTGAGACCCCCACCCAAAACCCCCTCAGACCCCCCCCAAAATCTCAGGGTGAGACCCCAGACCCCTCCCGGTCCCTCCCGGTCCCTCCCGGTACTCCCCGGTACCGGCCCAGCCCCTCCCGGTCCCTCCCGTTCCCCCCCCCCCCCACCCAGGCCTACCGCCGTCCGCTCCCCCCTCCCGCTCTCACCGTCTCCGCGTTCCGCTCGTTGCCCGCCGCCAGGGCGGAGCGCGAGGACATGGTCCCGGCCCGGGGGGCACCGGAAGGCGGCACCGGGGGGCACCGGAAGGGGCGGTCCCGTTCCCGGGGGTGGGGTGTGGGGGGGTCCCGTTCCCGTTGCCGTTACCGGGGGGGCCGGGCCGGGGCGGCCATGGCGGCCATGGCGCCGGAACCGGAAGCGGGGCGGCGGCGGAGTGGGCGGGGCTTTGACCGCAAAAGGAGAGCGGTTCTGAGGGCTTGGCCACGCCCACGGAGGGGAGAGGGCCAATCGGGAGGCGGCGTTGCGGCATGGAGACAGATGGGCACGCCCCCTGAGGGGGGCGGGGTTAAAGGAGGGTGGTGAGCGGTGATTGGCTGCGCTCTGGCCAATGGGGAGGGAGAGCGGGGTTTGATGGGTGATTGACGGGGGAGGGGTCACGTGGGGCGGGCGGGGGTCGCCTGGATCGCACCTGGGGTCACGTGGGGTCACCTGTGTCACATTTGGGGTCACCTGAGGTCACCTGTGCCACCCTCGGGGTCACCTGTGCCACCTGTGTCACATCTGGGGTCACGTGGGGTCCCCTGTGGGGTCACCTGTGCCACCTGTGTTACCCCTGTCACCTCTGTGTCACACCTGGGGTCACGTGGGTCACACCCGTGTCACGTGTGTCGCCTGTGCCACCTCTGTGCCACACCTGGAGTCACCTGCATCACACCTGAGGGCACCTGTGTCACCTGTGGGGCCACCTGTGTCACCTCAGTGCCACCTGGGTCACACCTGGGGTCACCTGGGTGTCACACCTGGGGTCACCTGTGCCACCCAGGTCCCCTCCCCAGTGTCACCAGTGTCCCATCCCGTGTCCCGCTGTCCCCAGTGTCCCCTCCCGCTGTCCGCAGTGTCCCCTCCTAGTGTCCCCAGTGTCCCCAGCGTCCCCTCCCGCTGTCCCCGCTGTCCCCGGTGTCCCTGCTGTCCCCTCCCGCTGTCCCCGCTGTCGCCTCCGGGTCCCCCTGCCCTGTTCCTGCTGTCCCCATTGTCCCCCTTGTCCCCTCCCTGGTGTCCCCAGTATCCCCAGTGTCCCCATCCTGCTGTCCCCACTGTCCCCGCTGTCCCCTCCGGGTCCCAGGGTCCCCAGTGTCCCCAATGTCCCCGATGTCCCCAATGTCCCCATTGTCCCCAGTGTCCCCTCCCGGTCCCCGCTGTCCCCAGTGTCCCCAGTGTCCCCAATGTCCCCAGTACCCCCAGTGTCCCCATCATCCCCAATGTCCCCGCTGTCCCCTCCCCGCGGCGCTCCCGGAGCGGAACCGGGGCTGACCCTGCCCGGCCGGGGAGGCCCCTCCGGGGCGGCGCTTCCTGAGGAAACGCGGGGGGCAGCGGTGTCACCGCCGGTGTCGCCAGTGTCACCAGAGACACTGCCGGTGCCACCAGTGTCACCGCAGGCACCGCTGGTGTCACCGCAGCACAGCCAGCGTCACCGGTGTCACCGCAGGCACCGCCGGTGACACTGCCAGCACCGCCGGTGTCACCGCACCGCCACCAGCGTCACCGCAGGCACGGCCGGTGACACCGCTGCCACCTCCGGTGTCACCGCAGCCACCACCGCTGAAGCCACCGGAGCCACCGGTGTCACCGCAGCACCGGCAGTGCCACCGGAGCCACCGGTGTCACCAGTGCCAGCGCCACCAGCGCCGCCGGAGCCACCGGTGTCACCGCAGCTCCGCCGGTGTCACCAGAGCCACCACAGCTAAAGCCACCGGAGCCACCAAAGCCACCACAGCACCGCCGGTGTCACCGCAGCCGCCGTCGCTAAAGCCACCGGAGCCACCGCCGGTGTCACCAGAGCCACCACAGCCGCCGCCGGTGCCCCCGGAGCCCCCGCGCCGCTCCCGGGGGTCTCCGTCCTCCCGCCTGCCGCGTCCCCTCCGTGTCCCCCCCTCTGTCCCCTCCGTGTCCCCTCCGCTGTCCCCTCGCTGTCCCCTCGGTGTCCCCTCGTCCCCCGATATCCCCGGTGCCCCTCGGTGTCCCCGCTGTCCCCCCGGTGCCATCCCCGCTGTCCCCTCGGTGTCCCCTCGGTGTCCCCGCTGTCCCCTCCGGTGCCCCCCCGCTGTCCCCTCGGTGCCATCCCCGCTGTCCCCTCGGTGTCCCCTCGGTGTCCCCGCTGTCCCCTCCGGTGCCATCCCCCGCTGTCCCCTCGGTGCCATCCCCGCTGTCCCCTCGGTGTCCCCGGTGCCCCTCGGTGTCCCCGCTGTCCCCCCGGTGCCGTCCCCGCTGTCCCCCCGGTGCCATCCCCGCTGTCCCCTCGGTGTCCCCGGTGCCCCTCGGTGTCCCCCCGATCCCCCCGGTGTCCCCGGCCATGCCGCTGCTGCGGAGACCCCCGGCGGAGCCCCCCGCGGACCGGGACCCGTTCTCGGCGGACCCCGAGGGTCGCCGCCGCCGCCGCGCCACCCTGGGCGGGCTGGTGGGGCTGGGGGGGCACCTGGGGGGGCACCTGGGGGGGCACCTGGGGGGGCCCTTCGGCCTCCGCCGCCTCCGCGACCCCCGCGGGCGCCGCCGCTCCGAGGACGCGGGGGCGGCGCGGAGACCCCCGGAGGAGGCGGCGGGGGCCGGGAACAAGCGGGGGTCGCTGCTGAGGCTGGCGCTGGGTACGTGGGGACAGCGCGGCACCGAGAGGGGGGCGCCGGCCGAGGCACCGGCGGGGGGCGGCGGCGAGGGAGCGGCGGGAGAGCGGCGGGAGAGCGGCGGCAGAGAGCGGGACGGCGGCGGGATGGAGCGGGAGAGCGACCGGGAGCCGCTGTCCGGTGAGTGGGGACACCGGGGGTACACCGGGGGGATTGGGGACAATGGGGGACAGGGACCGGGACAGGGACAGGGACAGGGACAGGGACGGGGAGCCGCTGTCCGGTGAGTGGGGACACCGGGGGGACACCGGGGGGATTGGGGACAATGGGGGACAGGGACAGGGACAGGGACCGGGACAGGGACAGGGACAGGGACGGGGAGCCGCTGTCCGGTGAGTGGGGACACCGGGGGGGGCTTGGGGACACCAGGGGGGGTTTGGGGACATGAAGGGAACGGGGACCGGGGCAGGGACGGGGAGCCGGGGGGGGGACACGGCGGGACAGGGGGGCTTGGGGACAACGGGAGGACACTTGCGGCCTTGGGGACATGGGGGTAACGGCGGGGCTTGGGGACACCGGGGGGGCTCGGGGACATTGATGGGGACAGGGGGGACAGAGTGGGACAGGGCGGCTTGGGGACATGAGGGGGACCGGGGATGGGGTCACGGGGTCAGGGACAGGGGAAGGCGACAAGGGACATGGGGACAGCGGAGAGAGGGACGGGGACACGGGGATGGCGACAAGGGATGGTGACAAGGGACATGGGGATGGTGACAGGGGACACGGGGATGGTGACAGGGGATGGTGACAAGGGACACGGGGATGGTGACAGGGGACACAGGGACAAGGGGATGGGACATAGGGACAGGGGACACGGTGCCACCCCGGTGTCCCCTGTGTGTCCCCGCAGTGCTGGAAATGCTGGAGCTCATCCAGCGCCGGCACGTGGGGACAGGGACACGGGGATGGTGACAAGGGACATGGGGACACGGGGAGGGTGACAAGGGACACAGGGGTGTGCCCACGGTGCCAGGTGCCACCCCGGTGTCCCCGCAGTGCTGGAGATCCTGGAGCTCATCCAGCGCCGGCACCTGGTGGCCGCGGACGCTCAGATCATCGCGCTGGAGGCCGAGTGCTCGCTGTCCCCCTCGCCGCCTTCCTCCCCATCCCCGCCATCCTCCTCCTCCTCCTCCTCCCCTCCGCCGTCCCCGGTGCCCTCCGGCGGCCGCCGCGCCCGGGACGTGGCGCTGCTGTACCGGGCGCTGCTGTCGCAGCTCTGGGCCGTGGTGGCCGAGTCGGTGGCGGAGCCGCCGCCCGCGCCGGCGCCGCTGCGCGCCGTGGTGGCCGTGCTGGAGCAGGAGGAGGCGGCGGACGCTCGGTGCCCGCCGGGGGCGCGCCCGGGGCGGCCGCGGGCGCTGCGGCGGCGCTGGGGCGAGGCCGTGGCCCGGGCGGCCGGGGAGCGGCTGGCGCGGGCGGCGCCGGCGGGCGGGCTCGGGGCGCGGCTGGCCGCGCTGGCCGCCAGGGTGGTGGGCGACCTGGGGGTCGTGAGCGGCCGCGTGGCCCCCGAGTACCCGCCCGAGTGGGGGGCGGCGGGGGTCTACGCCCGCGGGTACCACCGCGCGCTGGGGCAGCAGGTGCGGGCGCTGGCGCAGCGGCCGCTGGACGTGGCGGAGATGTACCTGCTGCTGGACTGGCACAGCAACGCCTACCCCAGGTGAGGCGCCGGGGGAACCCCGAAATCTGCCCCTAGGACAGGTGAAACACCCCGGAACCTGCCCCACGGCAATGCCCGCCCCCAAATGTGCCCCTCAGCAACGCCTACCCCAGGTGAGGCGCCTGGGGAGCCCCAAAATCTGCCCCTAGAACAGGTGAAACACCCCGAAATCTGCCCCACGGCAATGCCCGCCCCAGGTGAGGCGCCTGGGGAGCCCCAAAATCTGCCCCTAGGACAGGTGAAACACCCCGGAACCTGCCCCACGGCAATGCCCGCCCCCAAATGTGCCCCTCAGCAACGCCTACCCCAGGTGAGGCACCTGGGGAGCCCCAAAATCTGCACCTAGAACAGGTGAAACACCCCGAAATCTGCCCCACGGCAATGCCCGCCCCAGGTGAGGCACCTGGGGAGCCCCAAAATCTGCACCTAGGACAGGTGAAACACCCCGGAACCTGCCCCACGGCAATGCCCGCCCCCAAATGTGCCCCTCAGCAACGCCTACGCCAGGTGAGGCACCCAGAAATGTGCTCACAGATACACCTAGCTCAGGTAAAACACCCCGAAATCTGCCCCATAGCCATGCCCATCCGGGTAAAGCACCTGGGAACCCCAAAATTGCCCCTCAGCAATGCGTACCCCAGGTGAGACACCCAGAAATGTGCTGCTAGAACAGGTAAAACACCTGGGGACCCCAAAATCCGCCCCAGCCACCCCAGGTGATGTCAGCCCCCAATGTCCCTCCCCCAATATCCCCGAGGCGTTCCCCCAGTGTCACCAACATCCCCAATGTCCCCAATGTCCCCCAATGCCCCCCAATGTCCTCAATGTCCCCAATGTCCCCAATCCCCCCAATGCCCCCAATGTCCCCATTGTCCCCGATGTCCCCAATGTCCCTGATGTCCCCAATGTCCCCAGTGTCCCCAATGCCCCCATTGTCCCCACTGTCCCCAGGGAGGTTTTGGGGCACCCCGAGGTGGGGGCGCTGCTGCGGGCGCAGGAATTGGGGCCCCTCCTGCCCCCCGAGACCCAGCGGGACCTGGAGAGATCCTGCATTGCCGCGGTGAAGGTGGGGACATCGGGGACATGGGGGACATGGGGGACATTGGGGACGTTGGGTGGACATTGGGGACATTGGGGACACTGGGGACATTGGGGGAACATTGGGGACATTGGGGGCATTGGGGACATTGGGGACATTGGGGGGACATTGGGGGGACATTGGGGGGATTGGGGGGACATTGTGGGGACATTTTGGGACATCTGGGGACAGCGGCGTCCCCACGGTGTCCCCACCGTCCCCCGGCAGGCCAAGGTGGAGGTGGCCGTGGCGCAGGAGCTGCAGCTCAGCGAGGACAGGTGGCCCGAGGACGTCACCAGCCAGGACACGGAGGACGGGCTGGCCACGCGTGTCACCGGGGTTTGTCCCTGTCCCCTGGGGTGGCACCGGGGTGTGGCAGTGCCACCACCAGGGATTGCCCCTGTCCCCTGGGGTGGCATCTGGGGACACGGTGGCAGTGACAGCCGTGAGGGGACAGTGGTGGCCAAGGGGACATTGTGGCGGTGACAGTGTCACCATGGCTCAGGGGACACCGTGGCTGTGTCCCCACACCCATGGTGGCATTGTCCCCACAGCTCAGGGGACACCCTGGCCATGTCCCCACGCTGTCCCTGTCCCCATCCCCACGCTGTCCCTGTCCCCACGCTGTCCCTGTCCCCACACTGTCCCCATCCCCACGGTGTCCCCATCCCCACGCTGTCCCTGTCCCCACGGTGTCCCCATCCCCACGCTGTCCCTGTCCCCACGCTGTCCCTGTCCCCACACTGTCCCCATCCCTTTGGTGTCCCTGTCCCCACGCTGTCCCTGTCCCCACACTGTCCCCATCCCTTTGGTGTCCCTGTCCCCACGCTGTCCCTGTCCCCACACTGTCCCCATCCCTTTGGTGTCCCTGTCCCCACGCTGTCCCTGTCCCCACACTGTCCCCATCCCTTTGGTGTCCCTGTCCCCGCAGCTGCTGCGGGCGCACGTGGACCGAGCCCCCCAGGTGACCCCCGAGTTCGGCCGGGAGATGGCGCACAGCCTGCTGGGAGTGCTGGTGACCTTCCTGCACAGGTGGGGACACCTGGGGACACCTGGGGACACCTGGGGACACTCTAGGGGACATTGGGAAACCATGGGAGATGTGGGAACACCGGGATGTGACACAGGACAGGACATGGGGACACCCTGGCATACCTTGGGGACACTCTGGGGGACACCTTGGGGACACCTTGGGGACACCGGAATGTGACGCAGGACATGGGGACACCCTGGGGACACCTTGGGGACACCCTGAGGACACCTTGGGGACACCGGGATGTGACACAGGACAGGACATGGGGACACCCTGGCATACCTTGGGGACACCCTGGGGACACCTTGGGGACACCCTGGGGACACCTTATGGACACCGGGATGTGACACAGGACATGGGGACACCCTGGGGGACACAAGAACACACCAGGAGACCCAAAAGCCACATCCCCCGCGGGATGTCACCCAGGGCAGTGCCACCACCCCCGGTGACGGCGCCGTCCCCTCTCAGCTTCCAGCGCAGGGTGGAGCGGTTCCTGGACGCCCCCGGCGACGCGCCGCCCCCCGAGGCCACCCCCGGCCGCGCCATCGCCCTGGCCAACTGCTGCCCCCCGCTCAGGTGAGGCCGCCGCGCCCGTCCCAGGTGTGCCCGGGGTGTGATGTCACCGCGACGTCGCCGCGACGTCACCGCGACGTCGCCCCGGTGTCGCCGGCAGGGCGTTGGCGGAGCGGCTGGCGCAGGGCGGGCGCGCCGAGAGCGAGGAGCCGCGGCGGCAGGCGCACGCGGCGCTGGACAGGGTGACCCGGGCGTGCGGCCGCCTCCTGACGCGGCGGCTCTTCGAGGAGCTCAAGGTGACACCGGCATGGCAGGGGTGGTGGCTGTCGTCATTGGGTTGGTGACAATTGTGGGACGTGGTGGCCGTTGCTGGGTTGGGTTGGGTGGGGTTGGTGACACCTCTGGGACGTGGTGGCCATGACCTCCTGACGCGGCGGCTCTTCGAGGAGCCCAAGGTGACACCGGCGTGGCAGGGGTGGTGGCTGTCGTCATTGGGTTGGTGACAATTGTGGTGGCCTTCAGTGGTGTTGGGTTGGGTGACGCCCATGGGACATCACGGGATGTTGGATTTGGTGACAATTGTGGGACGTGGTGGCCGTCGCTGGGCGTTGGGTTGGGTTGGTGACGCCCATGGGACACGGTGCCCATCATCAGGTGCTGGGTTGGGTGGGTTGTGTTGGTGACACCCATGGGACACTGTGCCCATCATCGCTGGTGCCACCAGCGGGCGCCAGCCCAGGTGCCCCCCGTGGTGACGTCCCCGTGTCCCTCTGTCCCCGTGTCCCCTGTCCCCGTGTCCCCGTTGTGATGTCCCCGTGTCCCCGTGTCCCCCTGTCCCTGTGTCCCCGTGTCCCCGTTGTGATGTCCCCATGTCCCCATGTCCCCTGTCCCCGTGTCCCCGTTGTGATGTCCCCGTGTCCCCGTGTCCCCCTGTCCCCGTGTCCCCATGTCCCTGTGGTGATGTCCCCATGTCCCCGTGTCCCCGTTGTGATGTCCCCGTGTCCCCGTGTCCCCCTGTCCCCGTGTCCCCATGTCCCATGTCCCCTGTCCCCCTGTCCCCGTGTCCCCGTGTCCCCGTGTCCCCCTGTCCCTGTGTCCCCGTGTCCCTGTTGTGATGTCCCCGTGTCCCCGTGTCCCCGTTGTGATGTCCCCGTGTCCCCGTGTCCCCCTGTCCCCGTGTCCCCGTGTCCCCGTGTCCCTATGGTGATGTCCCCGTGTCCCCGTGTCCCGTGTCCCCAGCCGCACTTCGGGAAGCTGATGAAGCGCCGGTGGCTGACGAGCTCGGACGCCTTCGACGCCATCGTGATGCTCGTGACCGGCTTCGCGCAGACCCTGCGGCCGCTGCACCCCGAGCCACACCAGGTGTGGCACCCGGGACACCTGGGGACACCTGGGGGCAGCTGGGGACACCTGGGACAGCTGGGGGCACCTGGGGACAGCTGGGACAGCTGGGGGCACCTGGGGACATCTGGGGACACCTGGGGGACACCTGGGGACACCAGGACATCAGGGGTTGGGTGACAGCTGTGGGACACTGGGACATCAGTGGGAATTGGAGTTGGGTGACATTGTTGGGTGTGGCTCCAGGTGACACTGTGGCCACGGTGCCATCACCAGCTGTGGCTCCGTGTCACACCATGGGCGTGGTGCCGGCAATGCCACCATTGGGTGCTGCTCCAGGTGACACCGTGGCCACGGTGCCGTCACCAGCTGTGGCTCCAGGTGGGCACAGTGCCATCACCAGGTGTGGCTCCAGGTGACACCGTGGGCACGGTGCCGTCCCCAGGTGTGGCCCCGGGCGGTGACCCCTCTCTCCCGTGCCAGGCGCTGGTCAGCGAGCTGCACCGCCGCGTGCTCATCGAGTACGTGCGGCCGCTGCTGCAGGGGCGCCTGGTGTGCGCCTCGGCCAAGGCGCGCGCCCGCGTGGCCGCCCGGCTCGGGGACGAGGCCCGGCAGCTCCGCGAGCTCTTCACGCGCCTGGTGAGACCCCCGGGGACCGCCGGGAAGGGTGGCACCCATGGGTGACATCCGGGGGACGGCGCTGGGTTGGGTTGGGCGACACCTGTGGGACATCGTTGGGAATCGGGATGGGTTGGGTGGCACCTATGGGTGACATCCGGGGGACGGCGCTGGGTTGGGTTGGGTGAAACCTGTGGGACATCGTTGGGAATCGGGATGGGTTGGGTGGCACCCATGGGTGACATCCGGGGGACGGCGCTGGGTTGGGTTGGGCGACACCTGTGGGACATCGTTGGGAATCGGGATGGGTTGGGTGACGCCCATGGGACATCGCTGGCAATTGGGATGGGTGACATCTGTGGGACATTGTTGGGTTTGGTGACACCCATGGGACATCATTGGGCATTGGGTTGGGTGGTTGCGTTGGGTGACACCTGTGGGACACTGATCGGTGCCACATTGGGTGACACCCATGGGACATCACTGGGTTGAGTGACACCCATGGGACATTAATGGGTTGGGTGACATCCCTGGGACCTCGATCGGTGTTGGGTTGGGTGACACCCATGGGACATCGTTGGGTGCCATGTTGGGTGACACCCATGGGACATTGATCATTGTCACTCTGGGTGACACCCATGGGACATCGCTGGGTGTTGGGTTTCCGTGTTGGGTTTCTGTGTTGGGTGTCACCCATGGGACACCGACCGCTGCCACATTGGGTGACACCCATGGGACATCGTTGGGTGCCACATTGGGTGACACCCATGGGACATCGTTGGGTGCCATGTTGGGTGACACCCTGGGACATCATTGGGTGCCATGTTGGGTGTCACCCATGGGACACTGACCGCTGCCACATTGGGTGACACCCATGGGACATCGTTGGGTGCCATGTTGGGTGACACCCTGGGACATTGTTGGGTGCCATGTTGGGTGACACCCATGGGACATTGATCATTGTCACTCTGGGTGACACCCATGGGACATCGCTGGGTGTTGGGTTTCCGTGTTGGGTTTCTGTGTTGGGTGTCACCCATGGGACACTGACCGCTGCCACATTGGGTGACACCCATGGGACATCATTGGGTGCCATGTTGGGTGTCACCCATGGGACACCGACCGCTGCCGCTCTGGGTGACCCCCGGCCGTGGCGCTCACCGCGGTGTCCCCGCCGTGCCCAGGACTCGGCGTCGCCCTGGCTGCACTCGGTGGTGCCGCGGCTGCGGGAGCTGCTGGTGCTGGAGGACACGGCCGCGCTGCAGATGGAGGTCGGGGCCCTGGCCAGGGACTTCCCCGACGTCCGGTGGGTCTGGGGACACCCTGGGGGTGGCACCGCGGGGGTGGCACCGTGGGAATCCTGCGGGGGTGGCACCAGGGTGACACGGCCGGGCTGGGGACACGGCCGGGGCAGGATGGGGATGACAATGGCCAGAGGTGACACCAGGGTGACACAAGCGACGATGGCACCGTGGGAACCCTGCGGGGATGGCACCAGGGTGACACAGATGGGGGTGACACTGCGGGACCCCCGTGAGGGTGACACAGCCAGAGGCGACACCGCGGGGGTGGCACTGGGGTGGCACCATGGGGGTGGCACTGGGGTGACACAACCGGGGGCGACACCCCGGGGATGGCACCGTGGGGGTGACACGGATGGGGGTGACACCACGGGGCCCCCGCGGGGGTGACAAAACCGAGGGTGGCACCACCGGGGGTGACCCCGCGGCGCTGCCCCGCCCTTCCCGCCGGCCCCGGACCGGACGCGGCCGCTCCCGGGGGGACCGAGCGGGGCCGGACCGGACGCGGCCCCTCCGGCCCTTCCCGGCAGCGCCCGCCCCGCCGTCCCCCGCCGGGAAACGGCCCCGGCCGAGCGCCAGCGGCCCCGCCCCGGAGCCGGGACCGGGGACACGCCCGGGGACACCGGGGATGGGGACGGCGATGGGGACAGGGGGGATTTGGGGGGATTAAACCAGAAATGTGGGGGCTGGGTCCCCAAAAATCCAGGGCAGGGGGAACCCCGGAGGTGCCGGACCCCAAAATCCGCCCCAGCCGGGGCTCCGGGGGGGTTTTGTCACCGCTGACCCCGGTGTTGTCGCCGTTATTGTCCCCCCGGGGCCATTGTCCCCTCGCTGTCCCCCCGGTGCCACTGTCCCCGTTATTGCCCCTGTTATTGTCCCCTACCCCCGCCCCGGTGTCATTGTCCCCTCATTGTCCCCTCACTGTCCCCTCGCTGTCCCCGCAGGCGCAGGCACGTGGCCATTGCCCCGTTATTGTCCCTGTCATTGTCCCGTTACTGTCCCGTTATTGTCCCGTTACTGTCCCGTTATTGTCCCCTCGCTGTCCCCTCGCTGTCCCCTCACTGTCCCGTTCCTGTCCCCGCAGGCGCAGACACGTGGCCATTGCCCCGTTATTGTCCCTGTCATTGTCCCGTTACTGTCCCGTTATTGTCCCCTCGCTGTCCCCTCGCTGTCCCCTCGCTGTCCCCTCACTGTCCCGTTCCTGTCCCCGCAGGCGCAGACACGTGGCCATTGCCCCGTTATTGTCCCTGTCATTGTCCCGTTACTGTCCCGTTATTGTCCCCTCGCTGTCCCCTCGCTGTCCCCTCGCTGTCCCCTCACTGTCCCGTTCCTGTCCCCGCAGGCGCAGGCACGTGGCGGCGCTGCTGGACGCGCGGGGCCTGCGGGCTCAGGGGCCCCGCCGGGAGATCCTGGGGGTGCTGCAGGACCTGGGGGGGGGCTCGGAACCGGCCCCGGGCCCGGCCCCGCCCCGGTGCCGAACGTTCTTCGCCGAGCTGGCGGCGCCGCGCCCGGTGCGCTGCCTCCCGTTCCAGCTGCGGCTGCCGCGGCTGCCGCGCCGCGGCCCCGCCCGGCCCCGCCCGTGACGGGCCCGGCACGGGGACCCCTCCCCGGCTCGTCCCGGCTCGTCCCGGTTCGTCCCAGTTTGTTCCAGTTCGTCCCGGTTCGTCCCGGTTCGTCCCAGTGTGTAAATGACGCCGTAAATTAATGGTGGTGGTCTCGTCTTTGGGGACAGGGTGGGGACATCACCCGGGGTGGGGACACCCCGAATCCCTGAGTCCCAGTTCGTCCCGGTTCGTCCCAGTTTGTTCCAGTTTGTCCCGGTTCGTCCCAGTTTGTCCCGCTTCGTCCCAGTTCATCCCGGTTCGTCCCGGTTCTTCCCAGTGTGTAAATGACGCCGTAAATTAACGGTGGTGGTCTCGTATTTGGGGACACTGTGGGGACACTTTGGGGACATCCCAAATGTGAGCAGGATCCCTGGCCAGTTCCTCCCAGTTCATCCCAGTTCCTCCCAGTTCATCCCGGTTCGTCCCGGTTCGTCCCAGTGTGTAAATGACGCTGTAAATTAACGGTGGTGGTCTCGTATTTGGGGACACTGTGGGGACACTTTGGGGACACTCTGGGGACAGTCTCCCCCCCGCGTCCCCTCCCGTGGCTCCTGTCGGGCTTGGGGACAGCCCTGGGGACACTTCGGGGGGGGGGAGGCGACACTTGGGTGTGTCCCCCCCTTGTCCCGGGTCAGGAATAAATCGGGATCCGGGCAGGAAGAGGCGGCAGCGGCGGCGGCGGCTAAAAATACCCAAAAATACCCAAAACCACCCGGAGTGACCGGGGCGGGGGCGGGGCCGGCACCGGGAGCCGGAGCGGGGGCGCCGGGGCAGCCCCGGAGCGGCGGCGGCGGCGGAAGCGGCGGCCCCGGGAAAGGGAACGGGGGCGCCGGGCAGGGGGGGACGCTCTGGGGACACTTTGGGACAGTTTGGGGACAGTTTGGGACATTTTGGGACAGTTGGGGAACAGTTTGGGGACAGTTTGGGGACAGTTTGGGACACTTTGGGGAGAGTTTGGGGCACTTGGGGGAGAGTTTGGGACAGTTTGAGGACATTTTGGGACAGTTTGGGACAGTTTGGGGACATTTTGGGACAGTTTGGGGACACTTGGGGGACCCTTTGGGACAGTTTGGGACATTTTGGGACAGTTTGGGGACACTTTGGGACAGTTTTGGGGACATTTGGGAAGGGGGGGACAGCCCCGGGAAAGGGAACGGGGGCGCCGGGAAAGGGGGGGGACGCTTTGGGGACACTTTGGGGACACTTTGGGGACGGTTGGGGGACATTTGGGGACAAACAAACTGGGAGGGAATCCCAAAAACTGGGGAAAGGTCCCATAAACTGGGAGAGAAACCTGAAAACTGGGATCAGGATCTCCTAAACTGGGGAAGGACCCCCCAAACTGGGAAAGGAGTCCCCAAACTGGGAGAGAATCCCCCAAACTGGGAGAGAATCCCCCAAACTGAGAAAGGACCCCCCAAACTGGGAGCGCCCCCGTTCAGTTCCTCTCTTCGCGCTCCCCCTGGCGGTCACTGCCGGAACTGCAGGCGAGCGGGGGGCATTGCCCCCAGACCCCCCAAAACCTCCCCCAGACCCCCAAACCCCCCAAAATCTTCCCCAAACCCCCCAAAATCCCCCCAGACCCCCCAAAATCTCCCCCCAAAATCCCCCCAATTCACCCCAAAAACACCACGGGAGCCGCGGGAGCCGCTCAAGCTTTTATTGGCCACGTTTTGGGGGGGGGGGGAATGAGCGCGGACCGGGGGGGGGGGGGGAGGGGCAGAGACCCCCGAGAGGGGGGGGGAGGGGGGGCGGTGAGACCCCGGGTGGGCACGAACACGGCACGAACAATAATTATCCTCGATATAATTAATAATAAAAAATTAAACATCTCCCGCGCAACAAAAATAGATTTATATACGGGGGGGGGGGGGGAGGGGGCGGAGCCAAGGCCAAGCGGGGGCGGGGACACGGGAGGGGACAGGTGGGACACACCTGGAGGTGGCACCTGGAGGCGCAGGGACCCCCTGAGAGGGACACGGAGGTGACAAAGTCGGAGGTGACCCGGGGGTGGCACCTGGAGGGGACACCTGGAGCCCCTCGGGGGACACGCAGGTGACAAAGTGACACCTGGAGAGGGTGGAGGTGGCACCTGGAGCCCCTCGGGGGGACGCGGGCCAGCTCCGGGGGGACAGAAATGACACAGGGACCTTCCGGGGCTGGGGACAGGGACACACGGTGGTGGCATCTCCAAAGGGGTGGAGGTGGCATCGGGACCCTCCTGGGGACCTTCAGCGAGGGCTCGGGGACGCCTCGGGTGGCACCAGGGACGGGCTGGGACATCTCCGGGGGGACAGAGGCCCTGGAGGGACCCCCGTGGTCACCTCGGAGGTGACACAAAAGCTCCTGTGGTCACCTGGGAGGTGACACTGAACCTCCTGTGGGTGGTGACAATGGGGTGGTGACATCTCCAGGCACCTCTGGGGCGACAGGGACACCACGAGAAGGTGCTGAGCGGGATGGGGACACCTCCAGAAGGGACAAAGGATCCTGGAGCGACCCCGCCGGGAGGTGACAAGAACCAGGATCGGCCAAAACCGGCACCAAAAAAAAAAAAAAAAAACCAAAAAAAAAAACCAAAAAAAATCAGGGGGGGAAAAAAACCCCGCGAAAAAAAACGAATCCCACCAGAACCGGGGGAAAAAAACAACAAAAAATTCCCACCAAAACTGGGGGTGGAAAAACAAACAAACAAACAAATAAACAAAAAAAACCACCAAAAAAACCAGCACAGGTGGAGGTGACCTGGAGGTGTCGCCTGGAGGTGACAAAGGGGCCACACGGAGGTGACAAAGCGCCACCTGTCCCGTTCACAACGCGAGGAGCGAGGGGGGAGCTCAGGCGGTCCGAGGAGGAGGAGGAGGTGACAAAGTGACACCTGGAGAGGGGAGAGGTGACCTGGAGGTGTCACCTGGAGCTCCGGGTACCCCATGGAGGGGACAGGAAGGTGACAAAGGGGACACGGAGGTGACAAAGCGCCACCTGGAGAGGGTGGAGGTGACACCTGGAGGTGACAAAGGGACACCTGGAGGTGACAAAGCGCCACCTGTCCCGTTCACAACGCGAGGAGCGAGGGGGAGCTCAGGCAGTCCGAGGAGGAGGAGGAGGAGGAGGAGCCCCGGTTGTCGCCGCCGCCGCCGCCGCCGTTGCCGCCGCTCCGCCGCTGGCGCGAGGCTCCGCACGAGGAGGATGAGGAGGAGGATGAGGATGAGGAGGATGAGGAGGAGTTTCCCTCTGGGTGGGGGGACACAAACGCGGGGGGCGCCGCGTTAGGGGCTCCCCAGCAGCGGGCGCCGGGCACGGGACCCTGCGGCACGAGGAACCACGGCAGCGGCGGCGGCGGCGGCGGCGGCGGCGGCGGGGCCTCGCCGGGGCTGCTCACCTCGGAGGCGACGGGCGCGGCGGCGGCGGCGGCGGCGGGCACGGCCATGGCGGCGGCGCCGATGTCCTCGAAGGGGACCTTGCAGGCCGGGGCGTGCGCCACCAGCACGAACTCCAGGCGCTCCTTCTCCTTGCGCAGCTCCGCGATCTCCGACTCCAGCTCGGCCTTCTCCTCCTCCAGCTGGTCCGTCTCCTGCGGGGCGGGCACGGTCAGGGGCGCGGGGACACCTGCGGGGGGCCCGGGGTGTCCCCTCGGGTGTCCCTGAGTGTCCCCTCGGGTGTCCCCAGGCGGCACCGAGCGTCACCGGGGTCTCTGTGGCATTGCCGTGTCCCCCTGAGTGTCGCCCTCCTGTGGCCGCCCTGTGTCACTGCAAGTCTGCCTGGGTCTCTGTGTGTCCACACCTGGGTGTCCCCTCGGGTGTCCCCAGGTGGCACCGAGTGTCCCCGGGGTCTTTGTCGCCCTCCTGTGGCCCTCCCGCGTCACTGCAAGTCTGTGTGGGTCTCTGCCCATTCCTGGCTGTCCCCAGGTGTCCCTGGGTGTCCCCTCGGGTGTCCCCAGGCGGCACCGAGCGTCACCGGGGTCTCTGTGGCATTGCCGTGTCCCCCTGAGTGTCGCCCTCCTGTGGCCGTCCTGTGTCACTGCAAGTCTGTCTGGGTCTCTGTGTGTCCACACCTGGGTGTCCCCTCGGGTGTCCCCGGGTGGCACCCGGGGTTGTTGTGGCATTCCTGTGTCCCCCTGAGTGTCGCCAGGGTCTTTGTCACCCTCCCATGTCACTGCGTGTCCGTCTGGGTCTCTGTCCATCCATCCCTGGGTGTCCCCAAGTCTGGGGACAGCGACATCAGTGACCTGGCAATGTCCATAGGTGTCCCTGAGTGTCCCCTCAGATGTCCCCAACCCTGGGGACAGTGACATCAGGGACACGGTGACATCTGCAGGTGTCCCCCCAGGGTCCTTGTGGCATTCCTGTGGCCCTGAGTGTCCGTCTGGGTCTCTGTCCATCCTTCCCTGGGTGTCCCCTCAGATGTCCCCAAAGCTGGGGACATCCCTCAGGCTCCTCCTACGTCCCTAAGTGTCCGCCTGTCCCCTCCTTTGTCCCCTTGTCCCCACTGATGGCACTGTCCTCGTCCTGTCCCCTCGGATGTCCCCAAGCCTAGGGACATCTCTGGGTTTCTATCTGTCCCTTCCTGATGTCCCCAACTCTGAGGACATCGCCACCGTCACTGGGGACACCTGATGTCCCCAAATGTCCCCAACTCTAAGGACATCACCACCAGCTGGTGACATCCCTGTCCCCTCCTGATGTCCCCAAATGTCCCCAACTCCGAGGACACCGCCACCATCACTGGTGACACTGCGGGCCCTTGGGGACAATGCCACCCCCTGGCGGCGATTGCTGTCGCGATGGTGTCACTATAATGTTGCGATAGTGTACGATAGTGTCACAATAGTGCCACCCCCTGGCGGCGATTGCCGTCCCAATAGTGTCGCGATAGTGTCGCGATAGTGTCGCGATACTCACCGCCTGCAGCCGGTCCGTCAGCTCGCGGCGCCGGTTGCGACATTTGGCCGCCGCCAGTTTGTTCCGCTCCCGCCGCACGCGGCGCTTCTCCTCCTCCTCGGGGGTCAGCTGCGGGGACAGGGGACAGCGGCGTCACCCGGTGTCACCCGGTGTCACCTCTGTCACCCTCTGTCAGCCCCCGGCCCCAAAACCCCGCCGGCTGCACCCAAAATCCCACCGGGGCCATCGGTAACAATGATGTCCCCAAGGTGCCACCACCCGAGATGTCCCTCAATGTCCTGCCGCTCACAGCGTCCCCAGCTCCCTCCCGTGTCCCCAAGGTGCCACCACCCGGGATGTCCCCAAGGTGCCACCACCTGGGGCCTCCCTCAATCTCCTGCCACTCCTGTTGTCCCCAAGGTGCCACCACCTGGGCTGTCCCTCAATCTCCTTCCATTTCCACGCCCTCAAAGTGCCACCACCCCTCTGTCCCCCTCTGTCCACTGTGTCCCCTCCATCCCCTCTGTCCCCCTGTCTGTCCCTCTGTCCCCCCTGTCTCCTGTCTGTCCCCTGTCCCTTCCATGCCCTCTGTCCCCCTGTCCCCCCGTGTCCCCTCTCACTGTCTCCTCCATCCCCCTGTCCCCATCTGTCCCCCTGTCTGTCTGTCCCCCTGTCCCCCTCCATCCCGCCCTGTCCCCCTGTCTGTCCCCTCTCGCCGCCTCCTCTGTCCCCCTGTCTGTCCCTCTGTCCCTCTGTCTGTCCCCTGTCCGTCCCCCCGTGTCCCCTCTCACCGTCTCCTCTGTCCCCCTGTCCCCTCCATCCCCTCTGTCCCCCTGTCTGTCCCTCTGTCCCCCTGTCTGTCCCTCTGTCTGTCCCCTGTCTGTCCCCTGTCCGTCCCCCCGTGTCCCCTCTCACCGTCTCCTCTGTCCCCCTGTCCCCTCCATCCCCTCTGTCCCCCTGTCTGTCCCTCTGTCCCCCTGTCTGTCCCTCTGTCTGTCCCCTGTCCGTCCCCTGTCCATCCCCCCGTGTCCCCTCTCACCGTCTCCTCGCGGCCCCGCCGCGCCCGTGCCCGCGGGGCTCTGCCTCCCGGGGCCGCTCCCGGTGCCGCTCCCGGTGCCGCTCCCGGTGCCGCCCCGAAGCCGCCGCCGCCGCTGCCGCCCATGCCGGGGCCGCCGTAGCTCGGCCCGGGCAGCTCGTAGGGGTCCAGGGCGGGGGGCGGCGGGGGCGGCTGCGCCATGGCGGCCCCCGGGGCCACCGAGGAGATGAGCGTGGGCTGCACCAGCCACTGCAGGTCCTGGCTGGTGGTGATGGCCGTGACCGTGGGCACGAAGGAGCCGGGCATGTCCCCCAGGGCGCTGCACTCCTGCGGGGACAGAGGGGACACGGTTAGAGGGGTGACACCGATGGGGACACGGGGGGACAGGGTTAGAGGGGTGACATCGATGGGGACACTGGGGGACACGGTTAGAGGGGTGACATCGATGGGGACACGGGGGACAGGGGTTAGAGCCATGGGGGACACGGTCAGAGCAGTGACATCGACGGGGACACGGTTAGAGTGATGGGGGACACTTGGGGACACGGTTAGAGGGGTGACATCGATGGGGACACGGCTGGGGACACGGTTAGAGGGGTGACACCGATGGGGACACGGGGGGACACGGTTAGAGGGGTGACATCGATGGGGACACGGGGGACAGGGGAGACAGGGGTTAGAGCCATGGGGGACACGGTCAGAGCAGTGACATCGACGGGGACACGGTTAGAGTGATGGGGGACACTTGGGGACACGGTTAGAGGGGTGACACCGATGGGGACACTTGAGGACACAGGGGACAGGGGTTAGAGCCACGGGGGACACCGGGGACACGGTTAGAGGGGTGACACCGATGGGGACACGAGGGGACACAGGGGACACTTGGGGACAGGGGTTAGAGGCGTGAGGGACACGGGGGGACACGGGGACATCGCTGGGGACGCCTCCGTCCGGGTCCGGGATGTGACACCCTGGCGTCCCTGTCACCCACGGGTGACACCCCGGGTGTCCCTGTCAAAATGTCCCCTCAAAATTTCCGTCGCCCCCTCCCCAAAATCCGAGCCCTGGAGGGGACCCCGAGGGTCCCCAGGTGACACCGCCACCCTCAGGTGACACCGGGGGCTCCCCAGGTGACACCGCCACCCTTTGGGGCCCCCCGAGCCCCCCAAATCCGAGAGGGGGCGTGGCCAAGGCTCAGAGGAGGGCGTGGCCAATGCTCAGAGGGGGCGTGGCCAAGGCTCAGCGGGAGCGCGCCCATCCCCGCCAGTGGGCGTGGCCTAAACCCAGTTCACCCCGCTCGTGTGGGCGTGGCTCCGCCGCAAAGTGGGCGTGCCCACCCCGAGGGGGCGTGTCCACCTCCCGTCTCCCCTGGCAACGGCACCAAAGAGAGAGGGGGGGGGGAGGGGGAGGGGACACCCCAAAAATAACCCGCGCGCTCTGCGTGCGTGCGTGCCGCGTCACCGCCGCCCGCGACGTCACTGCGCGCGGCTTACGCACGGCCCCGCCCCCCCGGTGCCGCTCCGCTCCATCCTCCCCCCCTCGGCCTCCTCATCCTCCCCATCCCCTCCTCAGTCTCCCGCCCCCGGTACCGGCGGCGCTCACCTGCGCGGCCCCGGCGGCGGCCGCGGGGCTCCCGAAGGAGTCGAGCGGCGACAGGTACTGGGACTCGGCCGAGGGCGACGAGCTGCACCGGGAGCCCGAGTCGTAATCCCCGGGGAACCCCTGGAACATGGCCCCGGGGCCGCGGGGGCCGCCGCGCCGCCACAAGGCTGCGGGGTCACGCCGTTAGCGCCGGCGGCATCACGGGGCGGCTCCGGTCGGTGCGCCGGTCAGGCTCCGGTGAGTGTCCGGCGTGCCCCGGTTAGGCGGCTGCGAGTTCCGCTGTGTCCGTGCCGCGCTCCGGTTGTGCGCTGTAAGCTCCGGTTGTGCGCTATAAGCTCCGGTACCGAGCGCCGGTATGTCCGGTAATGCGATAAAAGCTCCGGTACCGTCCGCTATAAGCTCCGGTTCGCCGCTACCAAGCTCCGGTGCGTCCGGTTATCCGCTAAAAGCTCCGGTAGCGTCCGTGCCCAGCTCCGGTAGTCCGCTAAAAGCTCCGGTTATCCGCTATAAGCTCCGGTACCGTTCGTATCCAGCTCCGGTTGTTCGCTGTAATCTCCGGTACCGTCCGTGCCGCGCTGTATAAGCTCCGGTAGCGTCCGTGCCGATCCCCGGTTGCCCGCGGTAATCTCCGGTCCCGTCCGTTCCGCTCTCCGGTGCTCCGTTCCGAACCCCCCTCACACTTCCCGCTCCATCCGTGACCGGCTCCGCTCGCTCCGATACCAAAACACCCAAAGTTGTCCCGGCACAGAACAAATCCCCGTTTCCGTTACGAGCGCCGGTAAATCCGCGCCGAGCCGCGCTCGGTCCCCTCGGCCGGGCGCCGGTGCCGCCGCCGGTGTCCGGTTTTATGAATGAACGGGCTCGCGGCGGCCCCGCCGCTTTATACGGCGGGGCCACGCCCCCCCGCGCTGACGTCACGCCCCCCTCCGCCGCCGCCGCGGGACCCCCGGGCCCCCCCCGCGGCCCCCGGGACCCCCCGCGCTCGGCGCCGCCGGTGCCCGGCGCCGTCTGAGGCTCCCGGAGGCGCCGCCGCCGTTAAGAGGCCCCGCGGAGGGCCGGGAGCGGGGGGGATCCCCCGGCCCCGCCCCGGCGGAGTTCCTGTGACGCAATTAGCCATATATGGCCTTGTCTGCAGTGTTTGTTTGGTATCCTAGCAATGACGTCACAGGGATTCCCTCCGCCGCCGCCGCCGCCGCCGCCGCCGCCGCCGCCGCCCGCCCGTATTAATAGCAACGGGAACGGCCCGCCCGTTCTAGAAACGGCACGAAGGGTCCCGGGAGGCGGCACCGGGAACCGGGAACTCCCCCGGGACCCCCCGAGACCCCCGGGACCCCCAGACCAACGGGGGATCCCCGGTATCTCCCTCCGGTGAATCCCCCGGTGACCTCCCGGTGTCCCCGAGGAGCCCCCGGTTACCCCCGGTTCCATCATCGGGACTCCCCGGTGTCCCCCATGAGACCCCCGGGACCCCCAACCCAATGGGGAACCCACCGGGGATCCCCGGTACCTCCCCCCGGTGAATCCCCCGGTGACCTCCCGGTGTCCCCGAGGAGTCCCCGGTTACCCCCGGGACCTCCCCCATGAGACCCCCGAGTCTCCCGGGACCCCCAAACCAGCCGGGGCATCCCCGGTGCCCGCCTCCGGTGCTTCCCCCGGTGACCTCCCGGGATTCCCCGTAACCTCCCGGTGTCCCCGAGGAGCCTCCGGTAACCCCCGGGGCATCCCCCATGAGACCCCCGGAATCCCCCCCGGTACCACCGGGACCTCTCCCGGTAACCCCTCGGGACCCCCCGGAGATCCCGGTTTGGGGTCCCGGTTCGGGTTTCCGGTGGCTCCCGGCTGGTCCCGGTTCGGGGATCCCGGAGGGTCCTGGTTCGGGGTTCCGGGGGTCCCGGTTCGGGGGTCCCGGTTTGGAGTTCTGGAGGGTCCCGGTTCTGGGTTTCGGGGGTCCCGGTTCGGGTTCCCGAGGGTCCCGGCGGGTCCCGGTTCGGGGGTACCGGGAGCTTCGGGGATCCGGGGGTCCCGGTTCGGGGGGTTCTGGTGTCTCCCGGCGGGTCCCGCTTTGGAGGTCCCGGTTCGGGCGTCCCGGTTCGGGGTTCCCGAGGGTCCCGGAGGGTCCCGGTTCGGGGTCCCGGTTCGGGGGTCCGGTGCGTCCCGGAGGGTCCTAGTTTGGGGGTCCCGGTTCGGGTTCCGGTGGGTCCCGGTTTGGGGGTCCCGGTTTGGGGGTTCCGGTTTGGGGGTCCCGGTTCGGGTGTCCGGTGGCTCCTGGCGGGTCTCGGTTCGGATCCCGGGGGTCCCGGTCTGGGGGTCCCGGTTCGGGGGATCCCGGTTCGGGTCCCGGTGTCTCCCGGTTCGGGTCCCGGTCCCGTTGCGGCCCCGGGCTCTGATGTCACCGGCGGCACCGGCGCTGAGTCACGGCGGCACCCCCGGTGTGGGGGGGCGGTTCCCACGCCCTCGGGGTCACCGTTCATTCACCCGCCCCGGCCCCGCCCCCGCCGGCGGCTCCCGCTGCTCCCGCTGCTCCCGGGCCCGGCAGGACCGGGGTCCCGTTACCGGGGTACCGGGGGTCGTGGGGGTCCCGTTACCGGGGTACCGGGGGTCTCGGGATTCCCTGTCCCGTTATCGGGGGTCCCTGTCCCGTTAGCGGGGATACCGGTCAGTTCTCGGGGGTCCCGGTCCCGCTACCGGGATCCCGGTGGGGTCTCGGTGATCTCAACCCCGTTCCCGGTATCCCGGAGGTCCCAGCCCCGTTTCCGGGGGTCCCGCTGAACTCTCGGGGGTCCCTGTCCCGTTTCCGGGGGTCCTGGTCGGTTCTCGGTGGTCTCAGCCCCGTTCCCGGGGTCCCGGGAGCTCCAGTCACGTTCCTGGGGGTTTCACTCGGTTTTCGGGGGTCCCGGTCCCGTTCCGGGGGTCCCGCTCAGCTTTCGGGGGTCTTAGCTCCGTCCCGGTGTCCCCGGGGTCCCTATCCCGTTCCCAGGGGTCCCTGCCCGGTTCCCGGGGGTCCCGTTGGACTCTCGGTGGTCCCGGTGGTCCCGGGGATCCCTCTGGGGTTTTTTCCCGCCCCGTTTTCCCGCGGTTCCCGCGCTCCCGTCCCGGTAAACACCGCGCGGGTCTCCCCGGTTACGGCGTTCCCCGCCGGTGACGTCACCACGTCCGGCGTCCCGTGTTTACGTCGCGCGGCAACGGCCGCGGCCATGGCAACGGGGGCGGGGCGTGGGCCGGGGCGGCGACCAATGGGAACGGGACAGGGGCGTGGCCAAAGCCGGAGGGGGCGGGGTTCGAGGCGCCGCGTTCGCGCGCTTTTGGCGGGGCGGGGGCGGAAATTTGGGGACATTTGGGGACATTTTGGGAAAATTGGGGACGCTGGGGGCATTGGGGGACATTGGGGACATTTGGGCGGAAATTTGAGGGAAAATTTGGGGGAATTTGGGGACATTGGGGGGAAATTTGGGGGAATTTGGGGACATTTGGGGCGGGGACATTGGGGGGGGGGACATTGTCACACTGTCGCCGGTTTGTCACAAGAGTTTTTATTAAATTGGAAGGACGAGAATAAAATAAAATAAAACTAAATTAAATTAAATTAAATTAAAAGGACGTGAATGGGGCGTGGCCTCCTCCCCATGGCCACGCCCCCCTCCTCACTGTCACCTCGGGGCGGGGACAGCGGTGTCACTGCGGCTTCACTTTGGCACTTGGCAGCTTGGCCAGGACCCTGCGGGGACATCGGGAACATTGGGGGACATGGGGGGACGTTGGGGACACTGGGGACATTGGTGACACTCACCTGGCTCGCAGGTGGCTCAGGTGGCCCCGGGCCAGGCTCAGGTACTGATCGATCTGGGCCTGGAGGGGACATTTGGGGACATTTAGGGACTTACAGAAGTGTCACACCCCCCCCCCCCCCCCCCGTGGTGGCAGTGCCACCCTCGGGTGTCACCGATGTCCCCTCAGGTGTCACCTGGGGGCGTGGCCGTACCTGGTGGCGCCGGTAGAGCACGGGGAAGGTGAAGGCGCTGATGACACCTGGGCGGGGGGGAGGGGACATGGTGGGGACACCGGGGGTCACCGGGAGTCACCAACTGTCCCCAAGTGTCCACAATGTCCCCTCAGTTTCCCCAATAACCCCCCAATGCCCCCAATGTCCCCGATGCCCCCAATGTCCCCAATGCCCCAATGTCCCCCCAATGTCCCCCCAATGTCCCCAATGTCCCCAATGCCCCCAATGTCCCCCGATGTCCCCAATGTCCCCCATGCCCCTCATGTCCCCAATGTCCCCCGATGTCCCCAATGTCCCCCATGCCCCTGATGTCCCCAATGTCCCCAGTGTCCCCAATGTCCCCCCAATGTCCCCCCAATGTCCCCAATCCCCCCAATGTCCCCAATCCCTCCATTGCCCCCAATGTCCCCGATGTCCCCCCAATGTCCCCAATGTCCCCGATGTCCCCAGCGTCCCTGATGTCCCCAATGTCCCCAATGTCCCCAATGTCCCCAGTGTCCCCCCGATGTCCCCAGTGTCCCCTCTCGTACCCGCTGCCAGCAGTGTCACCCCGTTGCAGGCGGCGCCCACGTAGGTCAGCAGGTAGAACAGGAAGGCGAACTGCGGCCACCAAGGTGACATTGGCACTGTCACCGTCACAGGCAGTGCCACCCACCCTGTGCCACCCACAGCGCCCGGTGCCCGCTGTCCCCTGTGCCCCCGCTGTCCCCAAATGTCCCCAATACCCCCCAAGTGTTGCCAGTGTCCCCAATGCTCCAAATGTCCCCAAAGTCCCCAAATGTCCCCACAGCCCCCCAGTGTCCCCAATGCCCCGTGTCCCTCATGTCCCCAATGCCCTCGATACCAGCCAAGTGTCCCCAGTGTCCCCAATGCCCTCGGGGTCCCCTACACCCCATTGTGTCCGCAGTGTCCCAGATGTCCCCATGGCCCTCATGTCCCCAATGTCCCCCACACCCTAATGTGTCCCCCAATGTCCCCCAATGTCCCCATTGCCCTCAATGTCCCCAATGTCCCCCAATGTCCCCCAATGCTCCCAATGCCCCCAATGCTCCCAATGTCCCCAATGTCCCCAACACCCCCCAAGGTCCCCATTGTCCCCAGTGTCCCCGCTGTCACCTTGAGTGACTCGGGCACGCTGTGCACCAGGAAGAGCCGGGTCAGGGTCCGGGCGGCCGCCACCGAGTGCCGGGCCAGGCACCGCGCCCAGCGCCGCTGCTGCTCCTCAGTGAGGGGCTCTGTCCTGCTGGGGACATGGGGACAGCGTTGGGGACAGCGTCGGGGACAGTCACAGGGTCAGGGGGACAGCACTGGGGACAGAGACACGCGAGGAAGAGGAGGGTGAAGGTCAATGCGTGCCCAGCGCCGCTGCTGCTCCTCAGTGAGGGACCACGGCTGTGCCCTGGGGACATGGGGACAGCGTTGGGGACATGGGGACATCATTGGGGACAGGCACGGGGACAGGGACACGCGAGGAAGAGGAGGGTGAAGGGCACTGCGTGCCCAGCGCTGCTGCTGCTCCTCGCTGAGGGGCTCTGTCCTCCTGGGGACATTGGGGACAGCGTTGGGGACACAGGGACACCCACAGGGACATGGGGACAGCCACGGGGTCAGGGGACAGCCCTGGGGACAAGGAAAGGGATGGGGACAGGGACAGAAGGACAGGGACAGGGGAACAGCCACAGGGACGGGGACAGGGGACAGCCATGGGGACAGCGATGGGGACAGAAGGACAGGGACAGGGACACGGGGACAGGGATGGGGACAGAGATGGGGACAGGGACAGAAGGACAGAGGGACAGCACTGGGGACACCATTGGGGACAGAAGGACAGTCATGGGCACAGAGGACAAACATGGGGACAGCGATGGGGACAGGGACAAGGGGACAGGGATGGGGACAAAGCCACCAGGGCCACCCTGATCTCCCTTGGGGTGGCAGGCAGGGGACACTGGGGGTGTCACTGACCTGAGGGGACACTCAGGTGTCACTCACCTGGTTTGGGGCTCCGTGGGCGGTGACAGGGAGGGGACACTGGGGGTGACAGGGAGGGGACACTCACTCAGGTGTGACTCACCTGGCCGGGGTGACACGCAGGGGACACTGGGGGTGGCAGGGAGGGGACACTGGGGGTGACACGCAGGGCACACTCAGGTGTGACTCACCTGGCCAGGGGCTCGGTGCCCGGTGCCCGCAGCGCCCTCAGGGCCGCCCGGCGCAGGCGCAGGGGGACGGTGACGGCGAGCACGGCCAGGGCCGCGTGCGCCGCCACGGCCACGGCGCTGAACCGCGACAGCGAGCCCAGCAACAGCAGGGACACCAGCAGGGCCAGCGCCGAGCGATGGGGGACGCGCCACAGCAACAGCTCCCACACTGGGGACAATGGGGACAGCATCAGTGTCACCTCAGTGTCACCAGTGACACCCCAGTGCCATCCCAGTAACACCAGTGACACCAGCAGGGCCAGGGCGGAGCGGTGCGGGACGCGCCACAGCAGCAGCTCCCACACTGGGGACAGCAATGTCACCATCAGTGTCACTGTCAGTGTCACCAGTGCCACCCCAGTGCCATCCCAGTAACACCAGTGACACCAGCAGGGCCAGGGCGGAGCGGTGCGGGACGCGCCACAGCAGCAGCTCCCACACTGGGGACAGCAATGTCACCATCAGTGTCACCTCAGTGTCACCAGTGCCACCCCAGTGCCACCACAATGATCCCAGTGCCACCCCAGTGCCACCCCAGCAACACCAGTGACACCAGCAGGGCCAGGGCGGAGCGATGGGGGACGCGCAAGAGCAGCAGCTCCCACACTGGGGACAATGGGGACAGTGAGGGGACACCATCAGTGTCACTGTCATTGTCACCTCCCCAGTGCTCCCAGTGCCACCCCAGTCCCTCCCAGTATCCCCCAGTCCCTCCCAGTCCCCTCCAGTGCCACCCCAGTGTCCCCCCCACGCTCCCAGTGCCCTCCCAATGATTCCCAGTTTCTCCCAGTTCAATTCCCAGCGCTCCCAGTTTCTCCCAGTTCCCCCCCAGTCCCCTCCCAGTCCCCCCCAGTTCCCTCCCAGTATAACCCAGTCCCTCCCAGTACAAACCAGTGACCCCAAATCCCCCTTTGACCCTTTCCCAGTCCCTCCCAGTCCCCTCCCAGTTTATCCCAGTCCCTCCCAGTATAACCCAGTCCCCCCCAGTCCCCCCCATTGCCCCCATTCCGCACCGGTTCCCTCCATGTCTCTCTCCCGTTCTCTCTCCCGGGGTTATTTTGGGGGTCCCCCCGCGTTATTTTGGGGGGGGGGGGGGTCACCCCCTATTTTTAGCCCTCCAATGGCGCCGGGGGGCGGCGCGACCCCTCCCCGCAACCGGAGCCGCCGCGCGCTCTCATTGGCCGCTCACCCTGTCCGTCAGCGCCCGCGGCGGCCGGCGATTGGTCGGGAGAGGGAGGAGGGGGCGGGGCCGAGGCTCGGGGGGGCTCCGGGCGGGCGCCCCCTGGCGGGGGGGAGGGGAGCGGCGCGGGGGATGCTGGGAGGGGGAAAATGGGGGGGTGAGGGGGTAAAGGGGGGGTCTGGGGGGTCCAAATACCCCTGGGGACCCCCAAAATACCCCCGGGGACACCCAAAATACCCCCCAAATACCCCCAGAGACCCCTAAAATACCCCCAAATTACCCCAAAATACCCCCGGGGACCCCCAAATCCTCTCAAATACCCCCAGGGACCCCCCAGGGACCCCCAAATCTTCCCCCAAATCCCCGAGACACACCCAGAGACCTCCAAATCCTCCCCAGGACCCCCAAATTCATCTCAGACATCCCCCCCCCCAAATCACCCAGGGACCCCCCAAATCCCCCCCAGGGCCCCAGATCCCTCAGACCCCTCCCCAAATTTCCCCTGGGACCCCCAAATCTCCCCATGGAACCCCCCAAATCCCCCCAGGGACCCCCCAAATCCCCTTCCCCATCCTCACCCTTCCTCCCTGGTCTCTCCTCCTCCTCCTCTTCCTCCTCCTCGCCCCCCCCCAAATCCCCCCTCGCCCCCTCCCCGATTTCGGGGGGGGGGTTCGGGGTCCCCGGGCTCCTTTTTGGGGCGGGGGTCCTTTTGGGGGGTGGGGGAGGGGTCCGGCCCCCCGAGGCCCCGCCCCCCCCCGGGCTCAGGCGTGGGGGAGGGACGCGACCCCTGCGGTGGGGGGGGTGGGGGTGGGGGTGTGGGGGGCCGCCCCTCCCCCCCCCTCCCCCTGCCCCTCCCCCCCCGAAGGCGATGTAGGAGAAGGTGAGCTCGTGGGGGGAGGGGCGGCACCGCAGCGCCGCCCCCTCCTCATTTTCTTCATCGTCATCGTCATCATCATCCTCATCCTCGGGGGGCTCCGGGAAAGGGGGGGGGTCCTCGGGGCCGCCTGATGGGGGAGGGGGATGGGGTAAATTTGGGGGAAATTTGGGGGGATTTAGGGGGGTTTGGGGTGGACTTGGGGGGATTTTGGGGTGCTTTGGGGGGAGATTTTGGGGTGATTTGGGGGGTTCGGGGTGAGTTTGGGGGAAATTGGGGGGTTTGGGGGGTAAATTTGGGGGGTTTTGGGGGTAAATTGAGGGTGATTGGGGAGATTTGGGGGGTTTGGGGTGGATTTGGGGTAAATTTGGAGGGGATTGGGGGAAATTGGGGGGGCTGGGGTAAATTTGGGGGGTTTTGGGGTAAAATGGGGGGGTTTGGTGTTGATTGTGGAGATTTTGGGGGAGGGTTGGGGCAGTTTGGGGGTTCGGGGTGGTTTCGGGGGTTTGAGGTGGATTTGAGGCGGTTTAGGGAGATTTTGGGGTAAATTGGGGGGTTGGGGTAAATTTGGGGAGGTTTGGGATAAATTGGGGGGATTGGGGGAATTTTGAAGGGTTTGGGGTAAATTTGGGGGGAGTTTGGGGGCGTGTGAGGGGGATTGGGGTAAATCCGGCAAGTGTGGGGTAAATTGGGGGAATTTGGAGGAATTTGGGGGAATTTGGGGTGAGTTTGGGACAAATTGGGGGGTTTGGGGTGGGTTTAGGGGGATTGGGGTAAATTTGGGGGGATTTTGGGGTAAATTTGGGGGATTCGGGTTAAATTGAGGCGGTTTGGGGTGGGCTTGGAGGGATTTGGGGTAAATTGGGGAAGTTTGGGGTGGGTTTGGGGGGATTTGGTTTAAATTGAGGGGATTTGGGGGACTTTGGGGGGATTTGGGGGATTTTGGGTAAATTTGGGGAGATTTGGGATAAATTGGGGGGGGTGGGGGGATTTTGGGGGGATTTGAGGGGTTTGGGGTAAATTGGGGAGGCTTTGGGGTAGGTTTGGGTGGATTTGAAGAGGTTTGGGGGTAAATTTTGGGGGTTTGGGGTAAATTTGGGGGCATTTGAGGTTTATTGACGGGGTTTGGGGTAAATTTTGGGGTTTTTTTGGGGTAAATTTGGGGGATTTTGGGGTCCCGCTCACCCTCGGTGGAGTCCGGTGTGGTGGAGGCCGTGGACGGAGCCTCCTCTGGGGGGACCCCCAAACTTGGTCCGGGACCCCCGGGACCCCCGCCCGGGAATCCTCCCCCGGTGCTCCCGTTCCCGGTTCCTCCCCATTCCCGGTGCTCCCGTTCCCGGTAATTCCCGTTCCCGGTGCTCCCGGCCCCGGTTCCTCCCCATTCCCGGTGCTCCCGGTCCCGGTTCCCCCATCCCCGGTGTCCCCGTTCCGGTTCCCGCGGTTCCGATCCCTCCCGGTAACTCCCGGTACCGGTAATTCTCGGTCCCGCCATCCCCGGTAATTCTCGGTCCCGGTTCCTCCCGGTCCCGCAGCTCCCGTTCCCTCCCGGTGCTGCCCCGACCCCCCCTATTCCCGGTACCGGATCCATCCCCGGTTCCCGGTACCGGATCCATCCCCGGCCACTCCCAATCCCCCCGTGCCCGGTCTCTCCCGGTTCTTCCCGGTCCCCCATCCCCGGCCGCTCCCGGTTCGCCGTTCCCCGGTCACTCCCGCATCCCGCAGCCCCTCCCCGTTCCCCGCGCCCCGTTCCCGGTCCCCGCTCCTCCATCCCCGGTCTCGGTGCCGCTTCCCGGCCGCTCCCGCATCCCCGCGCTCCGTTTCCCGTTCCCGGTTCCCGATCTCCCATCCCCGGCCCTTCCCGGTGCCGCGCCCCGGTTCCCGGTCACTCCCGCATCCCGCAGCCCCTCCCCGCGCTCCGTTCCCCGTTCCCGGTGCCGCTCCCCGGTGCCGCATCCCTGGCCCCTCCCGGTGCCACTCCCCGCTCCCCGGTGCCGCTCTCCGTTCCCGGTCCCGGTTCCCGGTCCCTCATCCCCGATTCCCCCATCCCCGGCCCCTCCCGCATCCCGCAGCCCCTCCCCGTTCCCGGTGCCGCTCCCCGTTCCCCGTTCCGCGTTCCCGGTTCCCGTTCCCGGTCCCGGTCCGTACTGCAGTGGGCGAAGCCCAGGACCTGCCCCATGGCCGCGGCCCCCCGCATGGGGCTCCCGGTGCCGCCATCACGGGGCCGCCATCGCCGGGGAGCGCCGCGCCCGAGGCCACGCGCGGACACAAAGGGCGGCGGCGGCGGCGGCGGCGGCGGCGGCGGAGAGGGCGGGGCCGAGGGGCGGGGCCAAGGGCAGGGGCGGGGCCGGAACGGAGCGGCGGGAACGGGGAACGGGGAACGGGAACGGGGAACGGGAACGGGGAAAGGGGACCGGGAATGGGGAATGGGGAACGGGGAACGGGAATGGGGAATTGGGACCGGTAACCGGCACCGGGAATGGGAAACGGGAATGAGGAAGGGGAACCGGGACCGGGAATTCAGACCGGGAAGCAGCACCGGAGAGGCGGGAATGGGGAATGGGGAATTGGGACCGGGACCGGGAACTGGGACTTGGAATGGGGACCGGGAACCGGGAACGAGGCACCGGGACCGGAGCTCCCCAGTTCCCCTCCGGCGCCTCCCAGTGCCCCCGGTCCCCCCAGCGCCTCCCAGTAACTCCCAGTAACCCCCATTAACCCCCAGTAATCCCCAGTAACTCCCAGTAACCCCCAGTAACCCCCAGTAACTCCCAGTAACCCCAGTAACCCCAGTAACCCCAGTAACCCCCAGTAACCCCAGTAACCCCAGTAACCCTAGTAACCCCAGTAACCCCCAGCGCCTCCCAGTAACCCCCAGTAACTCCCAGTAACCCCCATTAACCCCCAGTAATCCCCAGTAACCCCCAGTAACCCCCAGTAACTCCCAGTAACCCCAGTAACCCCCAGTAACCCCCAGTAACCCCAGTAACCCCAGTAACCCCAGTAACCCCAGTAATCCCCAGTAACCCCCAGTAACCCCCAGTAACCCCCAGTAACCCCAGTAACCCCAGTAACCCCAGTAACCCCCAGTAACCCCAGTAACCCCAGTAACCCCCAGTAACCCCCAGTAACCCCAGTAACCCCAGTAACTCCCAGTAACCCCCAGTAACTCCCAGTAACCCCAGTAACTCCCAGTAACCCCCAGTAACCCCAGTAACCCCAGTAACCCCCAGTAACCCCCAGTAACCCCAGTAACCCCAGTAACCCCAGTAACCCCCAGTAACCCCAGTAACTCCCAGTGTCCAGGACTGCAGAGTTCGGGGGGAACACTGGTCGTTACTGGGAGTTACTGGGACGCCACTGGATGATACTGGGAGTTACTGGGAGGGCACTGGGGGGATACTGGTCGTTACTGGGAGGGCACTGGACGTTGCTGGGAGTTACTGGGGAATACTGGGAAAGCACTGGGGGTTACTGGGAGGGCACTGGACATTACTGGGGGATACTGGGAGTTACTGGGAGGGCACTGGGAGTTACTGGGAGTTACTGGGAGGCCGCTGGATGATACTGGGAGAGCACTGGGAGTTACTGGACATTACTGGGAGTTACTGGGAGGGCACTGGGAGTTACTGGTCGCTACTGGGAGGCCGCTGGTCGTTACTGGTCCTGCGAGCCCCCCCGGTGCCGTTTCCCGGCCGCCGCCGTTCCCGGGAGGGGCGTGGCCGGGTGGTGGGCGGGGCCAGGCCCGTGCGGGGCGTGGCCATACTCATGGGGGCGTGGCCATGCCCGGGGGGGCGGGGCCTCTCGCCGGGACCGGCGGGTCCGGCCCCCCCCCCGCCCGCCGCACCGGAAGGGCCCGGACCGGCACGGCCGCCAGCATGAGGTGAACGGGGACGGGAACGGGGGGAGCTGGGAGCGACTGGAGCGACTGGGATGGACTGGGAGCGACTGGGGTACCGGGCACCGGGCACCGGAGCTGGGGGCGCCGGCGGAAGCGTTAACGGGAACCGGGGAGCGGCACCGGGAGAACTGGGGATCGGAACCGGGGGAACTGGGATGGACTGGGGGAACTGGGAGGAACTGGGAGGGACTGGATGAACTGGGGGAACTGGGATGAACTGGGAGAGCCGGTAACGGGCGGCGGGCGGTCCGGGGGTGCCGGTAACGGGCGCTGGGGCAGCGGGCGGCGCCGGTAACGGGTACGGGGAGCAACTGGGAACGGTACTGGAGCAACTGGGAGAGCTGGGAATTGATACTGGGAGCGCTGGGAGCGCTGGGATCCGGAACTGGAGCGCCGGGAAAAACCGGGAACTGGAACTGGGAGAGCCGGGAACTGGGACTGGGACACTGGGAGCACTGGAGCACTGGGATCCGGAACTGGAGCACTGGACTGGAGCACTGGGAGCACTGGAATTGATCCTGGGAGCGCTGGGAGCACTGGGATCCGGAACTGGGAGCACTGGGAATTGATACTGGGAGCACTGGGAGCGGCACTGGGAGCGCCGGGATCCGGAACTGGGAGCGCCGGGGAAACCGGAAGTGCACTGGAGCACTGGAATGGATACTGGGAACACTGGATCCGGAACTGGGAACACTGGGAGCGCTGGGAATCGATCCTGGGAGCACTGGGAATACCGGGAATTAATACTGGGGGCGCTGGAATCGATACTGGAGAACTGGGAGAGCCGGGAACTGGGACTGGGAGCGCTGGGAGCACTGGGAATCGATGCTGGGAATGGACACTGGGTTTACTGGGAGCACTGGGAATCGATACTGGGTTTACTGGGAGGGCACTGGGAGCACTGGGAATCGATACTGGGAGCACTGGGAGCACTGGAATTGATACTGGGAGCACTGGGTTTACTGGGAGCACTGGGAATCGATACTGGGTTTACTGGGAGGGCACTGGGAGCACTGGGAATCGATACTGGGAGCACTGGGAATTGATACTGGGAGCACTGGGTTTACTGGGAGCACTGGGAATCGGTACTGGGAATGATACTGGGAATCGATACTGGGTTTACTGGGAGGGCACTGGGAGCACTGGAATCGATGCTGGGATGGACACTGGGTTTACTGGGAGCACTGGGAATCGGTACTGGTTTACTGGGAGGGCACTGGGAGCACTGGGAATCGATACTGGGAGCACTGGGAGCACTGGGAATCGGTACTGGGATGGACACTGGCTTTACTGGGAGCACTGGGAATCGGTACTGGGTTTACTGGGAGCACTGAGAGCACTGGGGAATCGATACTGGGAGCACTGGGTTTACTGGGAGCACTGGGAATCGATACTGGGAATCGATACTGGGAGCACTGGGAGCACTGGAATCGATACTGGGAATCGATACTGGGAGCACTGGAGCACTGGGAGCACTGGAGTGGGGGAGGGGCGGCCCCGGGGGAGAAGAGGAAGGAAAAGGGGGGGGGGGGGCGGTGGTTTTGGGGTTCCAGCCCCGTTTTTGGGGTTCCCTCTCTATTTTTGGGGTTCCTCTTCCCTCTTTTTTGGCGTTCCCAGCCCCATTTTTGGGGGGTTCTCTCCCCGTTTTTGGGCTCGGAGCCCCCCGGGGAAGGGGTCCCCCAATTTCGGGGGGGTCTGAGCCCATCGGGGGCACCTCCCACCCCCATTTTTTTGCATTCCCACCCCCATTTTTTCGAGTTTTCTCCCAACTTTTGGGGTTCTCTCCCGTTCTTTCGGGATTTCTCCCCATTTTCGGGGCTCCCCAGTATCGGGGGTCCCTCACCCCGTGTCCCCCTCCCCAGCGAGCGCGCCCTGAGCTCGGCCGGGCCGTGGTGCTGCTCTATGGGGGGGTTTAACCCCATTTTTTGGTGTTTTCTCCCGTTTTTTTCGGGATTTTTCCCAATTTTGGGGGTTTTTTCCCCAATTTTGGGGTAACCCCGGTCTCCCCCCGTAGCGAGCGCGCCCTGAGCTCGGCCCGGGCCGTGGTGCTGCTCTATGACGAGGCGCAGAAGCTCTGGGTGCCCGCGGGGGGGGTCCCGGCGGGCGGGGCGGGGGGCGCGCCCCCCCCCCCACGGCCCCCCCAGCTGTGTGCAGCTGTTCCACCAGCCCGGCTCGCTCGCCTTCCGCATCGTGGGGCGGCGCCTCCCGCCCGAGCAGCAGGTGAGGGCACCTGGGGGGGTTTGGGGGCATTTATGGGGCACCTGGGGGGGTTTTGGGGGTTTGGGGGCATTTATGGGGCACCTGGAGGGGTTTTGGGGGGGTTTGGGGCATTTATGGGGCACCTGGGGGGGTTTTGGGGGGCTTGGGAGGGGGTTTTGGGGCAGCTTGGGCATCTGGGGGGGGTTTGGGGGGTATTTGGGGGGCATTGGGGGGGGTTTGGGGGCAGCTTGGGGCACCTGGGGGTAATTGGGGGCGTTTCTGGGGGATTTAGGGGGGTTTGGGGGCACCTGGAGGGGGTTTGGGGGGCTTTGGTGTACTTAGGGGGCATTTGGGGCATATGGGGAGGGGGGGGTTGGGGGCATTTGGGGTCACCTGGGGGGAGTTTGGGGGTCCCTGGGGGCATTTGGCGGGGCTTTGGTGGTACTGGGGGGGCATTTTGGGGTCTGGGGGGGCCTCCGTGACTTTTTGGCTGCCCCTCCCAATGCCAGGGGGTCTCTCAGCCCCCTGACCCCCTCCTTGTGCCCCCCTACCCAGGTGGTCCTGAACTGCCCCTGACCCCCCGTTTTGCCCCCCAGGTTGTTCTGAACTGCCCCCTGTGCAATCCCCCGGGTCTGGGGGCAGTTCTGACCCCGTTTTTGCCCATTTGCCCCCCATTCAGGTGGTGGCTGAACTGCCCCCTGTCGCGGGGGGCTGCGCTACAGCCAGGCCACCCCCCAGTTCCACCAGTGGCGCGAGGGGCGCCGGGTCTGGGGGCTCAGCTTCAGCGCCCCCCCCGAGGCCGCCCAGTTCGCCGCCGCCGTGCTGAGGGCGCTGCAGGCGATCGAGCGGGTGAGAGGGGGGGGCTGACACCCCCAGACCCACATTGACACCCCCAGACCCACACTGACACCCCCAGACCCCCCCGAGTCCTGTGTGTCACCCCCAGCCCCAAAACCAACCCCAAATCCCCCTAAATCCATCCCAACATCCCCCCCCCAAATCCCTGCCATAAATTCCCCAGATCCCCCCAAGTCCAGCCATAAACCCCCCGAAATCGAACCCAAAACCCCCCCAAATCCATTCCCAGATCGCCCCAAAATCAGCCCCCAAATCCCCCAAATCAACCCCAAACCCTGTCCAAATCAACCCTCAGATCCTCCCAGATCCACACCCAGATCCCACCGAAATCCGTGCCCCAAAACTCCCCAATCACCCCCAAATCCCGCCATAAATCCCCCCAAAATTCAGCCATAAAACCCCAAAATTCCCCCCCAAATCCCACCATAAAACCCCCCAAAATCAACTCTCAGATTCGCCCAAATCCCCCCAAAATCAGCCCCCAAATCGCCCAAAATCAACCCCCAAATCCCCCCGAACCAACCCCAAATGCCCCAAAATCAGCCCCAAATGTCCCCAAATTCAGCCCCCAAATCCCCCCAAAATCAACCCAAAATCTCCCCAAAACCAACCCAAGTCCCCCAAATTCAGCCCCCAAATCCCCCCAACCAACCCCAAATCCCCCAAATCCCACCCAGCCTCTCCTCCCAAATTCCGCCATAAATGGTCCCCAAACCGACCCCAAATCCCCCAAAAAACCCCCAAATCCCCCCAAAATCAGCCTCAAATCCCCCCAAATCCCCCCAAAAAATCCCCAAATGCCCCCGATGTCCCCGCAGGGACCCCCCTGGCCTGGCCGGACCCCGATGGCTCCGCCCCCCCTGAGCCCCCCGACAGGTGAGACCGGGGGGGGGGGGGTGTCCCCAAATTCTGTGGGGGAGCCCCAATTTTGGTGGGAGAACCCCAAATTTTAAGGGTGGGGACCTAAATTTTAATGGGGAGGAAACCCAGATTTTGAGGAGAAAATCCCAAATTTTGAGGGGAAAATCCCGAATTTTGAGGGGAAAATCCCGAATTTTAAGGGTGGGAACCCAAATTTTGGGGGGAAAATCCCAAATTTTAAGGGAGGTAACCTCAAATTTTAACGGGGGAAAACCCAAATTTTGAGGGGAAAATCCCAAGTTTTGGGGGAAAATCCAAATTTTGGGGAAAAATCCAAATATTAAGGGTGGGAACCCCAAATTTTTTGGG